TGTTTTAGGAGGCATTTTGAAGATGCCTTCACTGGCAACAATGCTGCAAAACCCAAGATATATTATGAAATGAGAGAGGCATTATTTGATTGATTTGATACTATACTATATAGTAATATCCAGTTTGTTTGTGCGTTTGGCACTGTGCACATGCAACAGCATGGACCCCTGCAGATGGATGACACGCACAACATCGTGCGGTGCTACTTTTTTCATGGCTCAAGAAAAGGAGCTTTCTTCATTGGGCTGGTGTGTGAGGACCTAAAGGGTTGCGTAGCCACTGGAACCCATAACAGAAGCCCCCGTTCGCAACCGCAGGTTATGAGCCCAAAGAGGTTCTGAAGCCATGTCTCTGATGCAACGCCGACGTGCGGCTGAGGGAGTCGATGGTGGAGGAGAAACAGCAGACGGAAGGACTGCTGACCAATTTCTGGATGACCTGATGGAGGATTTGAACAATGCCTCATCAGGAACAGCTGCAGTGAGGTCAGTGCGGGTGGTGGAAGGAAGTGCGCAAGCCCAACCTGAAGATGGAGCCCAAGAGGTGGTCGTGGCTGGAGCTGGTGGCCCACAGCCAGGTCATAACGGGGGAGCCCAAGGTGTGATGGAGGGTTTGTCACCAGACCAACAGGCCGTACTTCGACAAGCTGCTGAAGTTCTTCGGACTGGGGTGCTGCTGCAGTGGCAGGCTGCTCCGCCGGCTGCTCTGGTGGATGCAGGAAGGCGACCCGAACATCTTCCAGGGGGCCAACAACAAGCTGAACGAGCTGGAGGCATGGATCCAGGTGAAGGCCAACGAGGCGATCAAAGAGCTCAAGGGGTTGGTGACGGATGTCTTTTGGGTCCTCTTGCACTTCCTGCCGGCGGCTTGGAGCCATTGGTGCTTCGACCTGAAGGCCTCCCTCCTGCTCCACAAGGTGATCCTGTGGTTTTGGGTCCCGCTGGACCGCATGGAGGTGCTGAACAACAAGGGCATCCTTCTGCACTGGTGCAACATGCTGGACATCAACCTGGTTCTGGTCAACTTCTTCGGCATCCTTCTGATCCTCATGGGGTACCGGGTACAAGCCGCGATGAGGACACCAACGGAATCCGTTTTGGAGCGACCGGGCTATGGCTGGAGGTGATCAACATGCTGCCAGTGGACCACATGGCGATGGCGCCCAACGAGCTCTATCATCAGGACGGGTGAAAACAGCTGATGGTTTAACCCACAAAGACCTGTTGGATCTAGAGGCTCTTAGGGTTCAGGGTTTGAAAGAAGTTGAAGCCCAAATTCAAAGGGAAATGGAAAAACCCTGAGCATCCGATATTGATTACAATCAATATGGGGCAAGCACTTTTGATTTCAATGTTTTTTCAATATAAAATATTGATTTCAGAGCCCTTGGTGTTATTTTTCTGTATTGATTTGTTTGCTGGGTTTGAAAAGCAAGCCAAAAATCAATATAAAAATCAATATAAAAATCAATATTTTCCAATGTTTCACTTGTCTTCCCTTTCCCTTTTGGACCCCAGACATTGCAGCACCAGCCCCCTCTTTTGGATGGTTGTATGTACAAATTTCAAGGCAAAGTGTTATCCTTTGCCAAGGATCAGGACCCTTTCTCAAGGATTAGCTCCATCACGCCCTTTTTCAAGGGATGTCCTTTCTCAAGGGATGCCCTTTCTCAAGGGCCTCTGGCAACTTACCCTTTTGCAAGGGTTCTATCCTTTTGCAAGGATCAGTGCTGGTATCTTTCCCTTTCCCAAGAGATGTCCAAAGAGCTCCAGGGCTAAGGTGGCAGTGCCCTTTTGCAAGGGGTCTCCTTTTGCATTAAGGAGCATCCTTTCTCAAGGATTGATTTTGGCAATTTCCCTTTTGCAAGGGACATCCTTTCTCAAGGATTGCTTGTGGCAAACTCCCTTTTTCAAGGGGCACCCTTTCTCAAGGGCTAGTCTTGGCAATTGCCCTTTTGCAAGGGCAATCCTTTTGCAAGGATTGTGTGCCAGGGTGTCCCTTTCTCAAGGGGCATCCTTTGCCAAGGATCAGCTCCACTCATCCCTTTTTCAAGGGGTGCCCTTTGTCAAGGACCATTGTTTCCCTTTCTCAAGGGATGGCAGCTTCCCCTTTCTCAAGGGGCACCCCTTATGCTCCATCCACCCTTTTGCAAAGGGTGCCCTTTCTCAAGGATCATCCCTGGCAGCCATCCCTTTCCCAAGGGGTGTTCCTTTCGCAAGGAATTATCCTTTTGCAAGGATTCAAAGGCCAAAGTTCATAATTGGGGTCCAGCTGATGTGGGGCACCCTGTCCATTTGTTTTGTGCTGCAGGGCTCTTTTGCAAGAGTTTCTCGCAATACTTGGACCAGGGCTGAGAGTCTCAGAGTTCATTGTTCTGCAACAAGGCAAAGTTCAGCTGCCCATATCTTTGGAATTGCCCTTTGATTACCCTTGGCCACAGGAAAGCTTGTGACCTGATAGTTGCAATCCAATGTTCTTGATGGGTAAGAAATTTGGCCAAGCCCAAGCTAATATGAGGCTGCACCACGGGAAACCCATGAGCAACTGGCTTCAGCCAAAGTGCAAAATATGTGAAGCCATCAGTGTTTTTCCTTTGGATCAAGCAGCTTTGGTCCAAAGAAAAGCTTGCCTCACCTACATTTTGCAGCCACCTTTCATGGTAGACCCCCCAATATTCTGTCGGGGGGTCCATGGTTGCAAGAACTCTGTGTCTTATTTCCAGCTGGCCCCTTTCCAGGCAAGCTGAAAGGCGTGTTGCTCATCACCCTTTCTCAAGGGCTAAGGGCTTTAAAACCCCAACCCTTTTTCAAGGAGTTTCCCTTTTGCAAGGGTTTCTCTATACCTTTAAAGGTTTGCCTTTTGCAAGGCTTGGCTACCCTTTTCCAAGGGTTGGAACTTGCCCTTTTGCAAGGGTTGGATCTTCTACAACTTTTCACACTAAACCTAAAGCTTTGAAGCAAAACAGCTGCAGAGGCATGCATGTCAGGTAAGCCTGTATGCCTGCCCATTTACCATTCCCTTTCCCACCTTCCCAAGCTGCAGCCAGCAAACTTTTTCTAGGCATGTGAAGTGTTTCACAGGCTTTGCTGCACAGAAGCCTTGAGGCTATTTCTAAAAACACTACCCTTTTGCAAGGGCTGGTTCCCTTTTGCAAGGGCTCCCCTTTTGCAAGGGCTCCTTTTGCAAGGGTTAGTCCCCCTTTTGCAAACGGCTGGTTCCTTCTTGCAATGACCAATACCCTTTTGCAAGGGTCAAAGGGAAGGCCTGTGCCACTTAATTTGTTGCAAGGGCTGTCATGAGCAAGTGGCTGTCCAGGGATTGTTCTTGGGAGAGGAGGGGTCCAAAGCTCCAAACCATCAAGCTGTCCCTGGATTCATATTCCACTCCATCACCATGTGTGAACAGAGGGATGGTGACTTGCTCCCACCCTTTTTCAAGGGTTGCTGGATGGTTAACCAGCCTGTCATCATCCCTTGCCAAGGTTTGTTCCCAAAATTCAGGCAGCTCATGAAGCTTGAAAAGTCTTTGAAAAACTTCTGGGTAACTCTCAGCCAATGCACTGAACATGGGGTGTGGGTAGAAAATCGCAACATCCTCATCAATGATTTTGCTGGTCTTGGGGTCAAAGCATTTGCATGTGACCAAGCCAGGCTCAGGCACTGACAGCTGGTTGCAGAAGGGCCTTACCAAAGGCCCTGTGGCAATTTCGTGGCTGCTCTTCAAAATTCCCAGCTGCTCCAAGAGTTGCAACTTCAGGATGGCTGCAACCATCAAGTGTGGCCAGGTTGGAGAGCTTTTGCACTCCACTGCAGAGAGCTTGCCATGTGCCCAAAGGGACAATAGCTTTGTAGCCAAGTTGCTGGGTGCAGAACTTGTGGATGGGGTGTCTCCTTCTGTGTCTGCACCCAGATCCATATCCTTCTTCCACCCTCTCAGCCTCTTTGCATTTTTCATGGCTGAGGAAGTGCCTTTTCACAAAGGCTCAGGCAGAAGAGCACTTGGCTGGACCTTTTTGCAAGGTCTCTCCCTGCAACCCTTTTGCAAGGGGTGTGGAAGCAGTCCTTTCTCAAGGATTGTCCTTTTGCAAGGGCTCTAGCCAGGCTGCTTTTGGTAAGACCTGCCCTTTTGCAAGGGTGTCCCTTTTGCAAGGGCTGTGCAAGCCAGCAACCCTTTTGCAAGGGTTTCCTTTTGCAAGGGGTGAGAGGCTGACCCTTTTGCAAGGGTGTCCTTGGCAAGGGTTTGCCTTTTTGCTCTACCTTTTTCCAAAGGTTTGCCTTTTGCAAGGCTTTGCCTTTTGCAAGGCTTCCTATACCTTTTTGCAAAGGTGTGCCTTTTGCAAGGCTTTGCTTCCCTTTTGCAAGGGTTGGAACTTGCCCTTTTGCAAGGGCTTAATCTTCTACCCTACCACCTACTAAACTAAACCTACAGTTTTGAAGCAAAACAGCTGCAGAGGCATGCATGCCACCTCAACCTATACATGCCTTTCCATGCATGCATTTCCCTTCACCATCTCCCCAAGCTGCAGCCAGCAAACTTTTTTCTAGGCATGTGAAGAAGTTCTCCTAGCTTCTATCTACCAAAATTGGATTTAAAAAAACTACCCTTTTGCAAGGGGCTTGCCTGACCCTTTTGGAAGGGCTGGCACCCTTTTGCAAGGGTTGGGACTGCCCTTTTGCAAGGGTTGGGGCTGCCCTTTTGCAAGGGCCAGGAAGCCTTTGGCAAGGGGTTACCCTTTTGCAATGGTCAAAGGGAATGCCTGTGCCACTAGCCATTTTGCAAGGGCTGTGCAAGCCAGCATCCCTTTTGCAAGGGTTATCCTTTTGCAAGGATCACCTGCTGGTAGAAGCTTTGCTGGCTGCCTTGTTGGCAAGCTGCTTCAGCTCCTTGGCCTCCTCCTTGGCTTGCTTGCACATATTGGCGCATTCCACCAATGCCTCTTTCAAGGTAGGTGGGCTTGGCTTCTTCAGGCGCAAGTCTTTCAACTTGTCCTGGACCTTTTTCAAGGCCTGAAGCTTCTTCTCAGTTTCATCTTTGGCCATCTTTGAGAGCCTGCTTTTGGCCTTTTGCAAGGTCTCTTCCAGTTCGTTGATGCACTTGCTGCATTCATCCCTTGCTCTTTTGGCTCTCTTGAGGTGTTTCTCAGGATCTTCATCATCCGACCCTTCTCCTCATCCTGCTCGTCATCCTCCACCTCCTGGTCCTTGATGGCCAATTGTTGGCTTTTCCCTTGGCCTTTTGCAAGGCCTTTGCCTTTTGCAAGGCTTGCAAGGCCTTGGCCTTTTCCAAGGCCTTTGCTTGTGTTCCCTTGTCCAAGGGATCCTTTGGCTCCATCTTGGCAGAGGCCCAGCACCCCAGTGTGGCCATCTGCCTGCCAAAGGCTGTCAAAGGCTTCCTCCTCCTGCTCAGCAGGATCATATTCCACACCCCTGGCAGTGGTTCTACCCTTACTGACCTTGAAGTTTTTCTCAAGGTCTTGGGTATCTGAGTACCCCCACACACCCCAGGTGGTGGGACTCTCTCTCCAGCGGATCCTGCCTGAGGCCAGACGAGCTTCAAACTCATCTTCTTCCCATATTTTCAGCATCTCCTTCTTGCTGATCCATTTCTCCCTTTTGTTCCAAGAGGTGCTGCCAGCAACCTCTTCCTTGACATGGAGAAATCTGCTTCCTGCAGAGCTCTTTTGCAGCTGCAAACCCCTTTTCCAGCTTGCCTCTCTGATCATGCTCCCCCTTTTCCAAGGGGTTTCTCTTCAAGTGGGTCTGGTGTTGGCTCCAGACCTTTGCATTCTCTGCAGGAGTCATGACCTTTTTCAAGGCCTTGGCAGCATCTTCTTCATCGCTGTGCTCCTCACAAACTGCAGCAACCTTCTCTTGCAAAGAAAGGTTGCCAAGTCTGTTGTGTTTCTTAGCACACAGCTTGCCCTTTTTCAAGGGCTTGTCCTTTTTCAAGGGCTTGTCCTTTTTCAAGGGCTTGCTGCCACTGCTGAGGAGATGCTTGCCCTTTGGCAAGGGCTTGCCCTTTGGCAAGGGCTTGCCCTTTGGCAAGGGCTTGCCCTTTGGCAAGGGCTTGTCCTTTTGCAAGGGCTTGTCCTTTTGCAAGGATTTGCCCTTTGGCAAGGGCTTGCCCTTTGGCAAGGGCTTGTCCTTTTGCAAGGAGTTGCCCTTTTGCAAGGGCTTGCTTTTCACAATTTTCTTTTTCAAAGGTTTTGCCATCTTGGAAATTGGCATGTTCTTCCTAAAAGTGTTTGAAGTTTAAAATGGCTGCAGGTGCATGAAGGGTTTAGTTCATGTGTGTGTGTGCATGTGTGTGTGTTGTACAAAATGTGTACAAAATTGTTTTTTAAAAAGAAACAAACAGAAAACAAACATATAATTAATATATTATATGGCATATAAATAGTTTTCTTGTCAAAACTACATAACAAATAAAAAACACCATGCATATATCATACACAAGCATGTTCATTAATAACTATATATTATATATATATATAAATGTACATTATTAATTTTATGTAATTATATTAAGTTATTTTAAATATCTATTATTTAATTATTTTGCATGTGGAAGAAAACCCGTGATTTTTCAACCAAACCAAAGCAATACATTAACACAAACCAAAGCAATATAAAACAATCATAGATAAAACATTTTTTATTTAAGCAAAACACGTGTTTTTCAATATGTTCCAAACCAAAACAAATTGGTGTTACTAACCATATAAAAACAATGTTCAACACATATAAATTCAGTACCAAAACCCATGTTCAACAAACATTGGTTACATTAACTTCAACTTTTTCAAGGTGTTGCAAATCTAAATCTCGTTTCAATCACTGGTTGTTGCATTTTTCAAATGAATTTAGTTTTGATGAATTTTGGTGAACTTTGATGAAATTTGATGAAAACCTGGTTTTCGTCAAATTCCATTAAAGTTCTGATTTTTTTCGAAACCTTGTTTTTTTGATGAACTTTGATGAAATTTGATGAAAGCCATGTTTTCATCTAATTTCATCAAAGTTCAATTTTTATTTTCAAAACCTTGAATTGTTTGATGAACCTGTTAATAAACAAATAAACTGATAGAATTGGATAGGATTGGATTGGCACTAATATTTTTAAAACATTTTTTCAATTTATAAACCTTTTCAAAACCAAAACAAATAGCTTAGATATAGTTCAATGTTTTTTTGGTGTACACAACAAAGCAGTAAGGCAACATTGCACTGTCAAACCTGTATTGGATTATATTGAAACTATACTGGAAATATTTTTGAAAATACATTGTATAATTTGAGGTAGATTCCAGATACTATTTGTGTCTGACTCTTAAAATAAATAATTTGAACACTTGTTTTTGTGCAATTAAGGATTCTCCCAACTGCATCTTAACATATTATATATCAATTCAAGCTTAATTCATGTTTTTTCAGGTATGAGTTCACTGGTTTTTAATTTTGGGTCAAACAGTTTAGTACTCTGTGTTTCTATGCTGTTTCAAATATCATTGTGGAATTTGTTTGGATCAAGAAACTGCAGAGTCAACAGAAACATAATCATCTGCCTGCAGCCTGAAACGGGCACCAAACAGCATTTGAGAAAACATATCAGTTTGCAAAAATTAACCTTGACACCTTAAATCTTGAATGTGTGTGATGTCCCTTTTGCAAGGGATAATGTTTAATTTGGTGTACCTTTTGCAAGGGGTTGACATTCTGGGAAAGATCGTATCTTTATTCCATTGCCGTTTTTTCCAATAGTATATGTGTTTCCTTGCTTTGTTGTTTTCGGGCCCATACAAAACTCAAAAAACATCAGGTTTTCAAAAGGCATATGTCCATGGCAAAGGTTTCTAATTTAAAAAACGGGTCGTGTAAAGTTGCACTTATTTATTTTTAATACATTAATTATTTGATTATGTTGATTTATTTATATTTATTTATTTCATTTTTTTGCTGCTTGCTACACATTTGCTAGCTTCTGTACAAACCACTGTTGGGCTGCAGCTACAAGTGGCCCTTTTGCAAGGGCTGAGCTATGGCTGAGGTTAACACACAACAAACAGAAACACACAATGTTTTTTTAATATCACCACATCTATATATATATATATATATGTATGTGTGTGTAAATACATGCATTTGTTATTGCAAATGCTGTGTGTAGACCTGAGCCACATGACCCTTTTGCAAGGGTTGCTCTTATTTGATCCTTTTGCAAGGATTATCCTTTTGCAAGGATTGGGGTGGGACACTGTCCCTTTTTCAAGGGGTATCCTTTTGCAAGGGTTGGGGTGGGACATCCCTTTTTCAAGGGGTACCCTTTTGCAAGCATTGGGGCCAGTCACCTACCCTTTTTCAAGGGTTATCCTTGGGGGTGGGGACACTTACCCTTTTTCAAGGGTTATCCTTTTGCAAGGGTTGGGGCTAGACACCTACCCTTTTTCACGGGTTGCCATGTGAGAGCCATGCCATTTTTCAAGGGTTTTGCAGAGCACCCTTTTGCAAGGGCTGGAAGCAGTCTCAAAGATTGTAATCTCTGATGAGCTGCCTCACTGCTTCTGCAAAGGATGCAAACCTGGAGTTTTCTGGCATCCATGCATGGCTCTCTCTGGGTGTTTGGATGCCATGGGTTTTGACACCCCATGAGCCCCGCTCTTGCAAGATGTCCTTTGAATCATCAAAGGCCACCTGGCAGCCCCACTCTGTGGCATACTCTGCCTTGCCCCCCACCCCAGTGCGACTGGTGCAGCATCCCCACCAGTGAAGTTGGCCAATGAGATCTGGGAGCTTTTCCCACATGTCAATTTCAACTTTGGGGATTTGCTTGGCCCCACAGAAGGAGAGCAAATGCACCTCCACTCCTTTGTCAAGGAGCTTCTGCAGGGCCATGAGGTCCTGGACCAGCACAGTGTCCTGGGGACTATTTTTCAGGCAATTGTGCCAATCAACCAACACAGCCAAAGGTTCTGATTGGGCTTCAGGAGACTGCTTCTTTTCTGACCCTTTTTTCAAGGGCTGCAGTCTCCTTCCCTTTTGCAAGGGATTTTGCCTGCTTGCTGGTGGCAGTCTTTGACTCCAGAACCGCCACCTTTTTGGCAACATTTCCTTTTTCAAGGACTTGCGTTTTTTCAAGGGCTGTTGCCCCCTCTTTTTCAAGAAGTTGTTTTTCCCTTTTTCAAGGGGTGCACCATTGCTGCTGCTTGCCCCTTTCTCAAGGGGTGCAGCATTGCTGCTGCTTGCAGCTGTCCCTTTCTCAAGGGATGTGCCAGTTTCCAGCCTGGGACCAAGCTTCCCCTTTTTGAGGCTCTTCATCAGCCTGTCCTTCAGCTCCTGGCACTTGCTCTCATATTGCCCTTTTGCAAGGGCTTTGGTCCCTTTCTCAAGGGGTGTTCCTTTTGCAAGGGCTTTGTTCCCTTTCTCAAGGGGTGTCCCTTTTGCAAGGGCTTTGTCCCCTTTTTCAAGGGGCTTGCCAGTGGACATCACCACCCTCTTGGATTGCTTGGCAGCTCTTCTGGCTTGCCTAGCCCAAGAGGTGGTGCCCCCACCAGACTTCCTTCCCTTGGAAGCTGCTAGGCTCAGAACCAAAAATGGCTGCAGACAGGGCATGTTCATGTGTTTAGTTTGCTTGTTTTAACAGCTAAACATGTTTTGTTTGCTTTAGCATAGCATAGGAAAAGAGACAAAAACATATGGACAACAAACATGGCACAAAAGGAAATACAAGGAACACCCTTTTGCAAGGGCTACCCTTTTGCAAGGGGCAGGGTAGAGACAAACACCACAGGAAAGAAGAAGTGGGAAAGGAACAAAAGATAAGACATGTGCAAATATACACATATAATAAATATGTATATGCATGGTATGGAACAACTTGTTTTTAAAAAAAAAAGTTATAGAGCATGCAAATACAGGAAATATGCATGGAAAGGCATGGTAGACATGAAAAGGTAAACTAATGGTTAAAGATAGAAAACTGCTTTAGGTGGGTGAAGGTATGAGAAAACAAGAAAAGAAGTATACCTCATTGGTGAGAAAAATAAGGAAGTGTGGTGGTGCTAGGTTGGCACATATGGGCATTTATATAGGTAACTGGAAGCCAGATCTAGAAGATTAAAGGGTTGCAAGTATAGGACAGTGGCAAGATAGATAGCTATAGGCAGATAAAGGTGTGCAAGGTTAGAGGTGAAAATAAATAAACACATTATATATATATATTGTAACATATACATATATATATATACATACACATGTCAATATGCATGTTTTCAATACTATTTTCAAACAGTTCTCATGAGTTTACTTCATGGAGATTCATAGTTTGCTTTATTAATAAAATATTTATATTTATTTTATTGGTTTTCATAAATTTGTCTATTTATTGATTTTTAACATTTTTTTACATTTCTTCATTTAGCCAAAACTGGCCTACATACAACCTGCAAGGGCTGCATTCTGTACACACCCTTTTGCAAGGGCTGCTTTCTATATACATGCACCCTTTTGCAAGGGCTTTCTTCTCCACACCCTTTGGCAAGGGTTCTTTAAAAATTCCCTTTTGCAAGGGCTTGCCCTTTCCCAAGGGCTTGCCCTTTTACAAGGGCTACCACTCTTGGCTATAAAACCCTTTTGCAAGGGTTCTTTGTGGATGCTTACCCTTTCCCAAGGGCTCAAAGGTCCAAGGGTCAAGGGAACTTGTTCACCAGCACCTGTCTCATTTGCAAGGCTTCCTCCTTGCCAATCTTGTCCTTTTGCAAGGACTTCATGACTTCATCACAGATATATTCATGCTGTGAGCTCCAGGTAGCTGGGACTTCTACAATCAAAATCCTTCTTGTCCCTTGTCCTTCTTCCAAGCATCCTGTGAGGTAGGCCCTTTTGGGTTTTTTGGCATTTGTCTTCCTCACATTATACCAATGGCCATCGTTCATCCCTTGGTGCCCTTTCTCAAGGGTTTTCTTCCCTTTCTCAAGGGCTTTCTTCCCTTTCTCAAGGGCTTTCTCCCCTTTCTCAAGGGTTTTCTTCCCTTTCTCAAGGGCTTTCTTCCCTTTCTCAAGGGCTTTCTTCCCTTTCCCAAGGGACTTTGCCACCCCTTGAGGTTGGCCTTTCCCTTTTGCAAGGGTTCCTTCCACTTTAGTATGGCCATTCCCTTTTGCAAGGGCTTTCCCTTTTTCAAGGGATGCAGGCCTTTTGCAAGGCTTGCTGCCATACCCCAATGCCTTTTTCAAGGAATGAGTTCCTTTTTCTTCCTTTTGCAAGGATCCTTCCCTTCTCATCATAAATGATTTGGCATGGGAAGCAGAGCTGGCTTTTGGATGCTTCTCTTCTTGTTTCTCTGGTGTCAGAAACATATTTGGAATGCCTGATGAGCCCAGAGAAGCTGCATCCTCATCCTTTTTCAAGGACTCACCCTTTTGCAAGGGGGTTTCTTCACCCTTTTTCAAGGGTTGATGGCCTTCTTCTTCAGGCAGCTTGACCATCTTTACCAGCTCCTGCAACTGCAGAAAGGAACTTGCATTCAGCTTGCTGGCACACAGCCTCATTTGGTCTTGGTCCCTTGCAAGCTTTTTGATGTGGGAGAAGATTGTGGCCAACCTATCTTGCTTCAAGTTGCTCCAGGTACTGCCATTCCATTTGGTCTTGTTAACTTCTGGCATTGAAGTAAGCATGGACAGCAAAGCCTGCCTCAAAGGTCCTGGAGCAACAGAGGCTGAGGGGCAAACAGCCAACAACCCTTTCACAAGGGGTGCAACCTTGACCAAGCCAGCTGGGTCTACTGCCCCTGCCCTGCTGACTGTTTCATACTGGCCAAGGTCTGCCACCAGCTCTGGTTTCTGACCCAAGACCTGCAGAAGCAAGGAAGGGTCAGTGTAAACCTTGGCCTTATGATTGGGCCCACCCCTGGCCATCCTTTTGCAAGGATTGCTGTCCTTTTCCAAGGACTCCTTTTGCAAGGATTGCTGTCCTTTCTCAAGAACCCTTATCCTTCTGCAAGGATTGGCGAAGATATTTTAAAGAATTCTGTTTCACTTGAAAGCCAAAAACTGCAGAGTGCACACATTCCCAGACCCCAAAACCATGTCAAAAACCAACCACAAAATCAATATAAAATATTGATTTTGGAGGCTTCAAAATCAATATATAAACAGAGGAAAATGAGTATAAAAATCAAAGTGGATATCAATAGAAAGAGGTATTTGGTCCAACTTTTTTTTGATTTTGAAGCTTCAAAAGCATAAGTTTTTATTGATATTTATTTTGATTTTTTAGTAAAATCAATATCGATATTTTTTGGAAAAAATATTGATTGTAATCAATATCGGATGCTCAGGGAACGAAAAGGGGATAATAGCGGTAGTGGCTCATTCCAAAGTGTTTTGGGGGAAGTAGGTGTAGTTCAGGGTTCAAAAACCCCTGTGGGTCCGGCTCTTGGCCAACTGGTGACTCCTCCGGGTCTTCCGGGCCTTCCTGGTCCAGCTGTGCCTGCTGCTGTCGCGCCTGCGCCTGTGGTGAGCGTTGGCGAGAGCCTCAACGAGAACCTGAGGAACTTGGAGCTGCCAAAGCTGCCCCCTGACAGCACTTCGGTAGACTTTGGCGACTGGCTAGCCATTGTGGGCCCGTGTGGCACGAGCAGTCAGATGGGTGACATCAACGCCACTCCAAAGGTTGCGCCTGAAGGTGGTGTCTCCTACTGAATTGGCGAAATGGCCAAGGACTGAGCAGAGGGCGGTGACTATGTTGTTGGCTGCTGTCCCGGACCCGATTCGGCGTGAACTGATCTCGTCCAGGAAGCTGCAAAGCGTGGAGATCCTCTATGCCCTTCTGTGTCGTTTTCAACCAGGTGGAGTTCATGAAAAAACGAGCTTGCTGAAGGACCTCATGGAGAACCGACTGGGTGCCAATGCGAACATCCACGAGCTCTTGCAGACCTTGCGGGTGTGGCGACGGAAATTGGGAAGATCAGCTGAGCTGGGGGCATTCAACTTCCGGATCCACTCATCTTGGTTCAAGTTCTTGGACGGTGGTCTGACCATCTTGGACTCCTTGGAGGACCTCAAACGGTTTACCGAATGTCGTCGCTTCGACAAGACTTGCAGTTGGACTTCACCCCAATGAATGTCAAGGTTGCTGACTTTGCGGAGGCACTACAGGCCGAAGCTGAGCAGTTGTCACTGATGAGCGCTTCACCGACTTCTACCACGACGGCATCACTTCAGGACACCAAGAAGAAGGAGCAGATCAAAGCTGCTGCCCTACGGTCTGAAGGGTCTCCTACTTCCAACGATGATGGGAAGGGGAAGTCAAAATGTCGTTTCTGGGGGAGCACGGCTGGTTGTCGCCGAGGTGAATCTTGTGCTTTTGAGCACTCTTGGGACGGCATCCAACGAAAAGGTCGATGCTGGAATTGTTCTGGTGAAGGGCACATGAAACCTGAATGTCCTCACCTCAAACCGAAGGAATCTGGTCAACGTGACTCCTCGGGCTCTCCCGCAAAGATCTCCAAGGTGAAAGATCAAAAGGGTGGCAGTCCCAAAAACACAGGGCATGGAAAAGGTGGATGAAGGGGAACTACGACGTCTTCACCAACGACGCCTTTGCCGAGCTCTTCACATGGATCTACGGCGACTTCATCGTCTTCGCATGGTGCTTCTGAGGAGAAGTCCAAGGTGGTGATCGAGGAGGTCAAGCCTGCTGTCCCTGCTGCTCTGGTGTCAGACCTGAGTGGGCTTGTGAAGTCTCTGCAGAGCTTGAAGGCAGTTCACTTGAGGTACATTGAGTCCAAGGCCGCAGGTGTTTTCTCTGGAGGTGACCAAAAACTGGCGTTGCTTGACGGTGGAGCCACTCATGGGCTACGTCGAGGACTGCCTCATGAACTTGAAGGTGCTGAAATGGTGACTGTGGAGCTTGTTCATGGGAGTACGTCCCTGTTTAGAAAAGCTGGATGCAGCACGTTGTTGGCGAAGGAGGAGGTGGAACCAATCATCCCTGTCCGTCAATTGACCGAGGCCGGCTACCAGCTCAAATGGAGTTCCTCCGAAGTTTCCATTTGGCATCCCCAAAAAGGATCCATCAAATGCTGGCGACGTCAAGGTTAAGTGTCCGGCTATGGATCGAGCTGATGGTTTGGCTCTTTTACAAATGCTGGAGGATGATGAGGCGGTGACCCAAATTGGTCAAGAAGTTCGAACTTGGTGGAAAGAACGATACCCAAGGGTTGGGGCTGCCCTTTTGCAAGGGCTAGAAAGCCGTTGGCAAGGGGTTACCCTTTTGCAATGGTCAAAGGGAATGCCTGTGCCACTAACCCTTTTGCAAGGGCTGTGCAAGCCAGCATCCCTTTTGCAAGGGTTATCCTTTTGCAAGGATCACCTGCTGGTAGAAGCTTTGCTGGCTGCCTTGTTGGCAAGCTGCTTCAGCTCCTTGGCCTCCTCCTTGGCTTGCTTGCACATATTGGCACGTTCCACCAATGCCTCTTTCAAGGTAGGTGGACTTGGCTTCTTCAGGAGCAAGTCTTTCAACTTGTCCTGGACCTTTTTCAAGGCCTGAAGCTTCTTCTCAGTTTCACCTTTGGCCATCTTTGAGAGCCTGCTTTTGGCCTTTTGCAAGGTCTCTTCCAGTTCATTGATGCACTTGCTGCATTCATCCCTGGCTCTTTTGGCCCTCTTGAGGAGTTTCTCAGGATCTTCATCATAGTTCTCTTCATCCTGCTCCTCATCCTCCACCTCCTGGTCCTTGATGGCCAATTGTTGGCTTTTCCCTTGGCCTTTTGCAAGGCCTTTGCCTTTTGCAATGCCTTGGCCTTTTCCAAGGCCTTTGCTTTTGTTCCCTTTTCCAAGGGATCCTTTGGCTCCATCTTGGCAGAGGCCCAGCACCCCAGTGTGGCCATCTGCCTGCCAAAGGCTGTCAAGGGCTTCCTCCTCCTGCTCACCAGGATCATATTCCACACCCCTGGCAGTGGTTCTACCCTTACTTACTGACCTTGGAGTTCTTCTCAAGGTCTTGGGTATCTGAGTACTCCCACACACCCCAGGTGGTGGGACTCTCTCTCCAGCGGATCCTGCCTGAGGCCAGACGAGCTTCAAACTCATCTTCTTCCCATATTTTCAGCATCTCCTTCTTGCTGATCCATTTCTCCCTTTTGTTCCAAGAGGTGCTGCCAGCAACCTCTTCCTTGACATGGAGAAATCTGCTTCCTGCAGAGCTCTTTTTCAAGAGCCAGAGGGCAGCTGCAAACCCCTTTTCCAGCTTGCCTCTCTGATCATGCTCCCCCTTTTCCAAGGGGTTTCCTTTCAAGTGGGTCTGGTGTTGGCTCCAGACCTTTGCATTCTCTGCAGGAGTCATGACCTTTTTCAAGGCCTTGGCAGCATCGTCTTCATCGCTGTGCTCCTCACAAACTGCAGCAACCTTCTCTTGCAAAGAAAGGTTGCCAAGTCTGTTGTGTTTCTTAGCACACAGCTTGCCCTTTTTCAAGGGCTTGTCCTTTTTCAAGGGCTTGTCCTTTTTCAAGGGCTTGCTGCCACTGCTGAGGAGATGCTTGCCTTTTGGCAAGGGCTTGCCCTTTGGCAAGGGCTTGCCCTTTGGCAAGGGCTTGCCCTTTGGCAAGGGCTTGTCCTTTTGCAAGGATTTGCCCTTTGGCAAGGGCTTGCCCTTTGGCAAGGGCTTGTCCTTTTGCAAGGAGTTGCCCTTTTGCAAGGGCTTGCTTTTCACAATTTTCTTTTTCAAAGGTTTTGCCATCTTGGAAATTGGCATGTTCTTCCTAAAAGTGTTTGAAGTTTAAAATGGCTGCAGGTGCATGAAGGGTTTAGTTCATGTGTGTGTGCATGTGTGTGTGTTTTGTACGAAATGTGTACAAAATTGTTTTTAAAAAGAAACAAACAGAAAACAAACATATAATTAATATATTATAAGGCATATAAATAGTTTTCTTGTCAAAACTACATAACAAATAAAAAACACCATGCATATATCATACACAAGCATGTTCATTAATAACTATATATATATATATAAATGTACATTATGAATTTTATGTAATTATATTAAGTTATTTTAAATATCTATTATTTAATTATTTTGCATGTGGAAGAAAACCCGTGTTTTTTCAACCAAACCAAAGCAGTACATTAACACAAACCAAAACAATATAAAACAATCATAGATAAAACATTTTTTATTTAAGCAAAACACGTGTTTTTCAATATGTTCCAAACCAAAACAAATTGGTGTTACTAACCATATAAAAACAATGTTCAACACATATAAATTTTGTACCAAAACCAATGTTCAACAAACATTGGTTACATTAATTTCAACTTTTTCAAGGTGTTGCAAATCTAAATCTGGTTTCAATCACTGGTTGTTGCATTTTTCAAATGAATTTAGTTTTGATGAATTTTGGTGAACTTTGATGAACTTTGATGAAATTTGATGAAAACCTAGTTTTCATCAAATTCCATCAAAGTTCTGATTTTTTCAAAACCTTGTTTTTTTGATGAACTTTGATGCAAGTTGATGAAAACCATGTTTTCATCAAATTTCATCAAAGTCCAATTTTTATTTTCAAAACCTTGAATTGTTTGATGAACCTGTTAAAAAACAAAAAAACTGATTGAATTGGATAGGATTGGATTGGCATTAATATTTGTTAAAACATTTTTTCAATTTAAACCTTTTCAAAACCAAAACAAATAGTTTAGATATAGTTCAATGTTTTTTTGGTGTACACAACAAAACAGTAAGGCAACATTGCACTGTCAAACCTGCACTGGACTATATTGAAACTATACTGGAAATATTTTTGAAAATACATTGTATAATTTGAGGTAGATTCTAGATACTATTTGTGTCTGACTCTTAAAATAAATAATTTGAACACTTATTTCTGCAATTAAGGATTTTCCCAACTGCATCTCAACATATTATATATAAATTCAAGCTTAATTCATGTTTTTTCAGGTATGAATTCACTGGTTTTTAATTTTGGGTCAAACAGTTTAGTACTCTGTGTTTCTATGCTGTTTCAAATATCATTGCGGAATTTGTTTGGATCAAGAAACTGCAGAGTCAACAGAAACATAATCATCTGCCTGCAGCTTGAAACGGGCACCAAACAGCATTTGAGAAAACATATCAGTTTACAAAAATTAACCTTGACACCTTAAATCTTGAATGTGTGTGATGTCCCTTTTGCAAGGGATAATGTTTAATTTGGTGTACCTTTTGCAAGGGGTTGACATTCTGGGAAAGATCGTATCTTTATTCCATTGCCTTTTTTTTCAATAGTATATGTGTTTCCTTGCTTTGTTGTTTTAGGGCCCATACAAAACTCAAAAAACATCAGGTTTTCAAAAGTATATGTCCATGGCAAAGGTTTCTAATTTAAAAAACGGGTCGTGCAAGTTGCACTTATTTATATTTAATACATTAATTATTTAATTATTTTAATTTATTTATTTTTATTTATTTCATTTTCTTGCTGCTTGCTACACATTTGGTAGCTTCTGTACAAACCACTGTTGGGCTGCAGCTACAAGTGGCCCTTTTGCAAGGGCTGAGCTATGTCTGAGGTTAACACACAACAAACAGAAACACGCAATGTTTTTTTAATATCACCACATCAATATATATATATATATGTATGCGTGTGTAAATACATGCATTTGTTATTGCAAATGCTGTGTGTAGACCTGAGCCACATGACCCTTTTGCAAGGGTTGCTCCTATTTGATCCTTTTGCAAGGATTATCCTTTTGCAAGGATTGGGGTGAGACACAGTCCCTTTTTCAAGGGGTATCCTTTTGCAAGGGTTGGGGTGGGACATCCCTTTTTCAAGGGGTATCCTTTTGCAAGGATTGGGGCCAGTCACCTACCCTTTTTCAAGGGTTATCCTTGGGGGTGGGGACACTTACCCTTTTTCAAGGGTTATCCTTTTGCAAGGGTTGGGGCTAGACACCTACCCTTTTTCACGGGTTGCCATGTGAGAGCCATGCCATTTTTCAAGGGTTTTGCAGAGCACCCTTTTGCAAGGGCTGGAAGCAGCCTCAAAGATTGTAATCTCTGACGAGCTGCCTCACTGCTTCTGCAAAGGATGCAAACCTGGAGTTTTCTGGCATCCATGCATGGCTCTCTCTGGGTGTTTGGATGCCATAGGTTTTGACACCCCATGAGCCCAGCTCTTGCAAGATGTCCTTTGAATCATCAAAGGCCACCTGGCAGCCCCACTCTGTGGCATACTCTGCCTTGCCCCCCATCCCAGTGCGACTGGTGCAGCATCCCCACCAGTGAAGTTGGCCAATGAGATCTGGGAGCTTTTCCCACATGTCAATTTCAACTTTGGGGATTTGCTTGGCCCCACAGAAGGAGAGCAAATGCACCTCCACTCCTTTGTCAAGGAGCTTCTGCAGGGCCATGAGGTCCTGGACCAGCACAGTGTCCTGGTGACTATTTTTCAGGCAATTGTGCCAATCAACCAACACAGCCAAAGGTTCTGATTGGGCTTCAGGAGACTGCTTCTTTTCTGACCCTTTTTCAAGGGCTGCAGTCTCCTTCCCTTTTGCAAGGGATTTTGCCTGCTTGCTGGTGGCAGTCTTTGGCTCCAGAACTGCCACCTTTTTGGCAACATTTCCTTTTTCAAGGACTTGCCCTTTTTCAAGGGCTGTTGCCTCCTCTTTTTCAAGAAGTTGCTTTTCCCTTTTTCAAGGGGTGCAGCATTGCTGCTGCTTGCCCCTTTCCCAAGAGGTGCAGCATTGCTGCTGCTTGCAGCTGTCCCTTTCTCAAGGGATGTGCCAGTTTCCAGCCTGGGACCAAGCTTCCCCTTTTTGAGGCTCTTCATCAGCCTGTCCTTCAGCTCCTGGCACTTGCTCTCATATTGCCCTTTTGCAAGGGCTTTGGTCCCTTTCTCAAGGGGTGTTCCTTTTGCAAGGGCTTTGTTCCCTTTCTCAAGGGGTGTCCCTTTTGCAAGGGCTTTGTCCCCTTTTTCAAGGGGCTTGCCAGTGCCAGTGGACATCACCACCCTCTTGGATTGCTTGGCAGCTCTTCTGGCTTGCCTAGCCCAAGAGGTGGTGCCCCCACCAGACTTCCTTCCCTTGGAAGCTGCTAGGCTCAGAACCAAAAATGGCTGCAGGCAGGGCATGTTCATGTGTTTAGTTTGCTTGTTTTAACAGCTAAACATGTTTTGTTTGCTTTAGCATAGCATAGGAAAAGAGACAAAAACATATGGACAACAAACATGGCACAAAAGGAAATACAAGGAACACCCTTTTGCAAGGGCTACCCTTTTGCAAGGGGCAGGGTAGAGACAAACACCACAGGAAAGAAGAAGTGGGAAAGGAACAAAAGATAAGACATGTGCAAATATACACATATAATAAATATGTATATGCATGGTATGGAACAACTTGTTTTAAAAAAAATATAGATCATGCAAATACAGGAAATATGCATGGAAAGGCATGGTAGACATGAAAAGGTAAACTAATGGTTAAAGATAGAAAACTGCTTTAGGTGGGTGAAGGTATGAGAAAACAAGAAAAGACGTATACCTCATTGGTGAGAAAAATAAGGAAGTGTGGTGGTGCTAGGTTGGCACATATGGGCATTTATATAGGTAACTGGAAGCCAGATCTAGAAGATTAAAGGGTTGCAAGTATAGGACAGTGGCAAGATAGATAGCTATAGGCAGATAAAGGTGTGCAAGGTTAGAGGTGAAAATAAATAAACACATTATATATATATATTGTAACATATACATATATATATATTGCAACATATACATATATATATACATACACATGTCAATATGCATGTTTTCAATACTATTTTCAAACAGTTCTCATGAGTTTACTTCATTGAGATTCATATTTTGGTTTATTAATAAAATATTTATATTTATTTTATTTGTTTTTAACAAATTTGTCTATTTATTTCTTTTTTAACATTTTTTTACATTTCTTCATTTATCCAAAACTGGCCTATATACAACCTGCAAGGGCTGCATTCTGTACACACCCTTTTGCAAGGGCTGCTTTCTATATACATGCACCCTTTTGCAAGGGCTTTCTTCTCCACACCCTTTGGCAAGGGTTCTTTAAAAATTCCCTTTTGCAAGGGCTTGCCCTTTCCCAAGGGCTTGCCCTTTTACAAGGGCTACCACTCTTGGCTATAAAACCCTTTTGCAAGGGTTCTTTGTGGATGCTTACCCTTTCCCAAGGGCTCAAAGGTCCAAGGGTCAAGGGAACTTGTTCACCAGCACCTGTCTCATTTGCAAGGCTTCCTCCTTGCCAATCTTGTCCTTTTGCAAGGACTTCATGACTTCATCACAGATATATTCATGCTGTGAGCTCCAGGTAGCTGGGACTTCTACAATCAAAATCCTTCTTGTCCCTTGTCCTTCTTCCAAGCATCCTGTGAGGTAGGCCCTTTTGCTTTTTTTGGCACTTGTCTTCCTCACATTATACCAATGGCCATCGTTCATCCCTTGGTGCCCTTTCTCAAGGGTTTTCTTCCCTTTCTCAATGGCTTTCTTCCCTTTCTCAAGGGCTTTCTTCCCTTTCTCAAGGGTTTTCTTCCCTTTCTCAAGGGCTTTCTTCCCTTTCCCAAGGGACTTTGCCACCCCTTGGGGTTGGCCTTTCCCTTTTGCAAGGGTTCCTTCCACTTTAGTATGGCCATTCCCTTTTGCAAGGGCTTTCCCTTTTTCAAGGGATGCAGGCCTTTTGCAAGGCTTGCTGCCATACCCCAATGCCTTTTTCAAGGAATGAGTTCCTTTTTCTTCCTTTTGCAAGGATCCTTCCCTTCTCATCATAAATGATTTGGCATGGGAAGCAGAGCTGGCTTTTGGATGCTTCTCTTCTTGTTTCTCTGGTGTCAGAAACATATTTGGAATGCCTGATGAGTCCAGAGAAGCTGCATCCTCATCCTTTTTCAAGGACTCACCCTTTTGCAAGGGGGTTTCTTCACCCTTTTTCAAGGGTTGATGGCCTTCTTCTTCAGGCAGCTTGACCATCTTTACCAGCTCCTGCAACTGCAGAAAGGAACTTGCATTCAGCTTGCTGGCACACAGCCTCATTTGGTCTTGGTCCCTTGCAAGCTTTTTGATGTGGGAGAAGATTGTGGCCAACCTATCTTGCTTCAAGTTGCTCCAGGTACTGCCATTCCATTTGGTCTTGTTAACTTCTGGCATTGAAGTAAGCATGGACAACAAAGCCTGCCTCAAGGTCCTGGAGCAACAGAGGCTGAGGGGCAAACAGCCAACAACCCTTTCACAAGGGGTGCAACCTTGACCAAGCCAGCTGGGTTTACTGCCCCTGCCCTGCTGACTGTTTCATACTGGCCAAGGTCTGCCACCAGCTCTGGTTTCTGACCCAAGACCTGCAGAAGCAAGGAAGGGTCAGGGTAAACCTTGGCCTTATGATTGGGCCCACCCCTGGCCATCCTTTTGCAAGGATTGCTGTCCTTTTCCAAGGACTCCTTTTGCAAGGATTGCTGTCCTTTCTCAAGGACCCTTATCCTTCTGCAAGGATTGGCGAAGATATTCTAAAGAATTCTGTTTCACTTGAAAGCCAAAAACTGCAGAGTGCATACATTCCCAGACCCCAAAACCATGTCAAAAACCAACCACAAAATCAATATAAAATATTGATTTTGGAGGCTTCAAAATCAATATAAAAATAGAGGAAAATGAGTATAAAAATCAAAGTGGATATCAATAGAAAGAGGTATTTGGTCCAACTTTTTTTATTGATTTTGAAGCTTCAAAAGCATAAGTTTTTATTGATATTTATTTTGATTTTTTAGTAAAATCAATATCGATATTTTTTGGAAAAAATCTTGATTGTAATCAATATCGGATGCTCAGGGAACGAAAAGGGGATAATAGCGGTAGTGGCTCATTCCAACGTGTTTTGGGGGAAGTAGGTGTAGTTCAGGGTTCAAAAACCCCTGTGGATCCGGCTCTTGGCCAACTGGTGACTCCTCCGGGTCTTCCGGGCCTTCCTGGTCCAGCTGTGCCTGCTGCTGTCGCGCCTGCGCCTGTGGTGAGCGTTGGCGAGAGCCTCAACGAGAACCTGAGGAACTTGGAGCTGCCAAAGCTGCCCCCTGACAGCACTTCGGTAGACTTTGGCGACTGGCTAGCCATTGTGGGCCCGTGAGGCACGAGCAGTCAGTGGGTGACATCAACGCCACTCCAAAGGTTGCGCCTGAAGGTGGTGTCTCCTACTGAATTGGCGAAATGGCCAAGGACTGAGCAGAGGGCGGTGACTATGTTGTTGGCTGCTGTCCCGGACCCGATTCGGCGTGAACTGATCTCGTCCAGGAAGCTGCAAAGCGTGGAGATCCTCTATGCCCTTCTGTGTCGTTTTCAACCAGGTGGAGTTCATGAAAAAACGAGCTTGCTGAAGGACCTCATGGAGAACCGACTGGGTGCCAATGCGAACATCCACGAGCTCTTGCAGACCTTGCGGGTGTGGCGACGGAAATTGGGAAGATCAGCTGAGCTGGGGGCATTCAACTTCCGGATCCACTCATCTTGGTTCAAGTTCTTGGATGGTATGAATGTCAAGGTTGCTGACTTTTTCAAGGCCTTGGCAGCATCTTCTTCATCGCTGTGCTCCTCACAAACTGCAGCAACCTTCTCTTGCAAAGAAAGGTTGCCAAGTCTGTTGTGTTTCTTAGCACACAGCTTGCCCTTTTTCAAGGGCTTGTCCTTTTTCAAGGGCTTGTCCTTTTTCAAGGGCTTGTCCTTTTTCAAGGGCTTGTCCTTTTTCAAGGGCTTGCTGCCACTGCTGAGGAGATGCTTGCCCTTTGGCAAGGGCTTGCCCTTTGGCAAGGGCTTGCCCTTTGGCAAGGGCTTGTCCTTTTGCAAGGGCTTGTCCTTTTGCAAGGATTTGCCCTTTGGCAAGGGCTTGCCCTTTGGCAAGGGCTTGTCCTTTTGCAAGGAGTTGCCCTTTTGCAAGGGCTTGCTTTTCACAATTTTCTTTTTCAAAGGTTTTGCCATCTTGGAAATTGGCATGTTCTTCCTAAAAGTGTTTGAAGTTTAAAATGGCTGCAGGTGCATGAAGGGTTTAGTTCATGTGTGTGTGTTTTGTACGAAATGTGTACAAAATTGTTTTTTAAAAGAAACAAACAGAAAACAAACATATAATATATTATAAGGCATATAAATAGTTTTCTTGTCAAAACTACATAACAAATAAAAAACACCATGCATATATCATACACAAGCATGTTCATTAATAACTATATATATATATAAATGTACATTATTAATTTTATGTAATTATATTAAGTTATTTTAAATATCTATTATTTAATTATTTTGCATGTGGAAGAAAACCCGTGATTTTTCAACCAAACCAAAGCAGTACATTAACACAAACCAAAACAATATAAAACAGTCATAGATAAAACATTTTTATTTAAGCAAAACACGTGTTTTTCAATATGTTCCAAACCAAAACAAATTGGTGTTACTAACCATATAAAAAACAATGTTCAACACATATAAATTATTTGGATGACGCGTTGACCTATAAATTCAGTACCAAAACCAATGTTCAACAAACATTGGTTACATTAATTTCAACTTTTTCAAGGTGTTGCAAATCTAAATCTGGTTTCAATCACTGGTTGTTGCATTTTTCAAATGAATTTAGTTTTGATGAATTTTGGTGAACTTTGATGAACTTTGATGAAATTTAATGAAAACCTAGTTTTCATCAAATTCCATCAAAGTTCTGATTTTTTCAAAACCTTGTTTTTTTTGATGAACTTTGATGAAAGTTGATGAAAACCATGTTTTCATCAAATTTCATCAAAGTTCAATTTTTATTTTCAAAACCTTGAATTGTTTGATGAACCTGTTAAAAAACAAAAAACTGATTGAATTGGATAGGGTTGGATTGGCATTAATATTTGTTAAAACATTTTTTCAATTTAAACCTTTTCAAAACCAAAACAAATAGTTTAGATATAGTTCAATGTTTTTTTGGTGTACACAACAAAACAGTAAGGCAACATTGCACTGTCAAACCTGCATTGGACTATATTGAAACTATACTGGAAATATTTTTGAAAATACATTGTATAATTTGAGGTAGATTCTAGATACTATTTGTGTCTGACTCTTAAAATAAATAATTTGAACACTTATTTCTGCAATTAAGGATTTTCCCAACTGCATCTTAACATATTATATATAAATTCAAGCTTAATTCATGTTTTTTTCAGGTATGAATTCACTGGTTTTTAATTTTGGGTCAAACAGCTTAGTACTCTGTGTTTCTATGCTGTTTCAAATATCATTGTGGAATTTGTTTGGATCAAGAAACTGCAGAGTCAACAGAAACATAATCATCTGCCTGCAGCTTGAAACGGGCACCAAACAGCATTTGAGAAAACATATCAGTTTACAAAAATTAACCTTGACACCTTAAATCTTGAATGTGTGTGATGTCCCTTTTGCAAGGGATAATGTTTAATTTGGTGTACCTTTTGCAAGGGGTTGACATTCTGGGAAAGATCGTATCTTTATTCCATTGCCTTTTTTTTCAATAGTATATGTGTTTCCTTGCTTTGTTTTAGGGCCCATACAAAACTCAAAAAACATCAGGTTTTCAAAAGTATATGTCCATGGCAAAGGTTTCTAATTTAAAAAACGGGTCGTGTAAAGTTGCACTTATTTATATTTAATACATTAATTATTTAATTATTTTAATTTATTTATTTTTATTTATTTCATTTTTTTGCTGCTTGCTACACATTTGGTAGCTTCTGTACAAACCACTGTTGGGCTGCAGCTACAAGTGGCCCTTTTGCAAGGGCTGAGCTATGGCTGAGGTTAACACACAACAAACAGAAACACACAATGTTTTTTTAATATCACCACATCATATATATATATATATGTATGTATGTATGTATGTATGTATGTGTGTGTAAATACATGCATTTGTTATTGCAAATGCTGTGTGTAGACCTGAGCCACATGACCCTTTTGCAAGGGTTGCTCCTATTTGATCCTTTTGCAAGGATTATCCTTTTGCAAGGATTGGGGTGAGACACTGTCCCTTTTTCAAGGGGTATCCTTTTGCAAGGGTTGGTGTGGGACATCCCTTTTTCAAGGGGTATCCTTTTGCAAGGATTGGGGCCAGTTACCTACCCTTTTTCAAGGGTTATCCTTGGGGGTGGGGACACTTACCCTTTTTCAAGGGTTATCCTTTTGCAAGGGTTGGGGCTAGACACCTACCCTTTTCCACGGGTTGCCATGTGAGAGCCATGCCATTTTTCAAGGGTTTTGCAGAGCACCCTTTTGCAAGGGCTGGAAGCAGTCTCAAAGATTGTAATCTCTGATGAGCTGCCTCACTGCTTCTGCAAAGGGTGCAAACCTGGAGTTTTCTGGCATCCATGCATGGCTCTCTCTGGGTGTTTGGATGCCATAGGTTTTGACACCCCATGAGCCCAGCTCTTGCAAGATGTCCTTTGAATGATCAAAGGCTATAGGGAAGAAAAAACTCTGTGGCATACTCCCCACCAGTGAAGTTGGCCAATGAGATCTGGGAGCTTTTCCCACATGTCAATTTCAACTTTGGGGATTTGCTTGGCCCCACAGAAGGAGAGCAAATGCACCTCCACTCCTTTGTCAAGGAGCTTCTGCAGGGCCATGAGGTCCTGGACCAGCACAGTGTCCTGGGGACTATTTTTCAGGCAATTGTGCCAATCAACCAACACAGCCAAAGGTTCTGATTGGGCTTCAGGAGACTGCTTCTTTTCTGACCCTTTTTCAAGGGCTGCAGTCTCCTTCCCTTTTGCAAGGGATTTTGCTTGCTTGCTGGTGGCAGTCTTTGACTCCAGAACTGCCACCTTTTTGGCAACATTTCCTTTTTCAAGGACTTGCCCTTTTTCAAGGGCTGTTGCCTCCTCTTTTTCAAGAAGTTGCTTTTCCCTTTTTCAAGGGGTGCAGCATTGCTGCTGCTTGCCCCTTTCTCAAGAGGTGCAGCATTGCTGCTGCTTGCAGCTGTCCCTTTCTCAAGGGATGTGCCAGTTTCCAGCCTGGGACCAAGCTTCCCCTTTTTGAGGCTCTTCATCAGCCTGTCCTTCAGCTCCTGGCACTTGCTCTCATGTTGCCCTTTTGCAAGGGCTTTGTTCCCTTTCTCAAGGGGTGTCCCTTTTGCAAGGGCTTTGTTCCCTTTCTCAAGGGGTGTCCCTTTTGCAAGGGCTTTGTCCCCTTTTTCAAGGGGCTTGCCAGTGCCAGTGGACATCACCACCCTCTTGGATTGCTTGGCAGCTCTTCTGGCTTGCCTAGCCCAAGAGGTGGTGCCCCCACCAGACTTCCTTCCCTTGGAAGCTGCTAGGCTCAGAACCAAAAATGGCTGCAGGCAGGGCATGTTCATGTGTTTAGTTTGCTTGTTTTAACAGCTAAACATGTTTTGTTTGCTTTAGCATAGCATAGGAAAAGAGACAAAAACATATGGACAACAAACATGGCACAAAAGGAAATACAAGGAACACCCTTTTGCAAGGGCTACCCTTTTGCAAGGGGCAGGGTAGAGACAAACACCACAGGAAAGAAGAAGTGGGAAAGGAACAAAAGATAAGACATGTGCAAATATACACATATAATAAATATGTATATGCATGGTATGGATCAACTTGTTTTAAAAAAGTTATAGATCATGCAAAGACAGGAAATATGCATGGAAAGGCATGGTAGACATGCAAAGGTAAACTAATGGTTAAAGATAGAAAACTGCTTTAGGTGGGTGAAGGTATGAGAAAACAAGAAAAGACGTATACCTCATTGGTGAGAAAAATAAGGAAGTGTGGTGGTGCTAGGTTGGCACATATGGGCATTTATATAGGTAACTGGAAGCCAGATCTAGAAGATTAAAGGGTTGCAAGTATAGGACAGTGGCAAGATAGATAGCTATAGGCAGATAAAGGTGTGCAAGGTTAGAGGTGAAAATAAATAAACACATTATATATATATATTGTAACATATACATATATATATATTGCAACATATACATATATATATACATACACATGTCAATATGCATGTTTTCAATACTATTTTCAAACAGTTCTCATGAGTTTACTTCATTGAGATTCATATTTTGGTTTATTAATAAAATATTTATATTTATTTTATTTGTTTTTAACAAATTTGTCTATTTATTTCTTTTTTAACATTTTTTTACATTTCTTCATTTATCCAAAACTGGCCTATATACAACCTGCAAGGGCTGCATTCTGTACACACCCTTTTGCAAGGGCTGCTTTCTATATACATGCACCCTTTTGCAAGGGCTTTCTTCTCCACACCCTTTGGCAAGGGTTCTTTAAAAATTCCCTTTTGCAAGGGCTTGCCCTTTCCCAAGGGCTTGCCCTTTTACAAGGGCTACCACTCTTGGCTATAAAACCCTTTTGCAAGGGTTCTTTGTGGATGCTTACCCTTTCCCAAGGGCTCAAAGGTCCAAGGGTCAAGGGAACTTGTTCACCAGCACCTGTCTCATTTGCAAGGCTTCCTCCTTGCCAATCTTGTCCTTTTGCAAGGACTTCATGACTTCATCACAGATATATTCATGCTGTGAGCTCCAGGTAGCTGGGACTTCTACAATCAAAATCCTTCTTGTCCCTTGTCCTTCTTCCAAGCATCCTGTGAGGTAGCCTCAAGGGCGTTCTTCCCTTTCTCAAGGGCGTTCTTCCCTTTCTCAAGGGTTCTCTTCCCTTTCTCAAGGGCTTTCTTCCCTTTCTCAAGGGCTTTCTTCCCTTTCCCAAGGGACTTTGCCACCCCTTGGGGTTGGCCTTTCCCTTTTGCAAGGGTTCCTTCCACTTTAGTATGGCCATTCCCTTTTGCAAGGGCTTTCCCTTTTTCAAGGGATGCAGGCCTTTTGCAAGGCTTGCTGCCATACCCCAATGCCTTTTGCAAGGAATGAGTTCCTTTTTCTTCCTTTTGCAAGGATCCTTCCCTTCTCATCATAAATGATTTGGCATGGGAAGCAGAGCTGGCTTTTGGATGCTTCTCTTCTTGTTTCTCTGGTGTCAGAAACATATTTGGAATGCCTGATGAGTCCAGAGAAGCTGCATCCTCATCCTTTTTCAAGGACTCACCCTTTTGCAAGGGGGTTTCTTCACCCTTTTTCAAGGGTTGATGGCCTTCTTCTTCAGGCAGCTTGACCATCTTTACCAGCTCCTGCAACTGCAGAAAGGAACTTGCATTCAGCTTGCTGGCACACAGCCTCATTTGGTCTTGGTCCCTTGCAAGCTTTTTGATGTGGGAGAAGATTGTGGCCAACCTATCTTGCTTCAAGTTGCTCCAGGTACTGCCATTCCATTTGGTCTTGTTAACTTCTGGCATTGAAGTAAGCATGGACAACAAAGCCTGCCTCAAGGTCCTGGAGCAACAGAGGCTGAGGGGCAAACAGCCAACAACCCTTTCACAAGGGGTGCAACCTTGACCAAGCCAGCTGGGTTTACTGCCCCTGCCCTGCTGACTGTTTCATACTGGCCAAGGTCTGCCACCAGCTCTGGTTTCTGACCCAAGACCTGCAGAAGCAAGGAAGGGTCAGGGTAAACCTTGGCCTTATGATTGGGCCCACCCCTGGCCATCCTTTTGCAAGGATTGCTGTCCTTTTCCAAGGACTCCTTTTGCAAGGATTGCTGTCCTTTCTCAAGGACCCTTATCCTTCTGCAAGGATTGGCGAAGATATTCTAAAGAATTCTGTTTCACTTGAAATAAAACTAGAGGAAAATGAGTATAAAAATCAAAGTGGATATCAATAGGAAGAGGTATTTGGTCCAACTTTTTTTATTGATTTTGAAGCTTCAAAATCATAAGTTTTTATTGATATTTATTTTGATTTTTTAGTAAAATCAATATCGATATTTTTTGGAAAAAATGTTGATTGTAATAATATCGGATGCTCAGGGAACGAAAAGGGGATAATAGCGGTAGTGGCTCATTCCAACGTGTTTTGGGGGAAGTAGGTGTAGTTCAGGGTTCAAAAACCCCTGTGGATCCGGCTCTTGGCCAACTGGTGACTCCTCCGGGTCTTCCGGGCCTTCCTGGTCCAGCTGTGCCTGCTGCTGTCGCGCCTGCGCCTGTGGTGAGCGTTGGCGAGAGCCTCAACGAGAACCTGAGGAACTTGGAGCTGCCAAAGCTGCCCCCTGACAGCACTTCGGTAGACTTTGGCGACTGGCTAGCCTTTGTGGGCCCGTGTGGCACGAGCAGTCAGTGGGTGACATCAACGCCACTCCAAAGGTTGCGCCTGAAGGTGGTGTCTCCTACTGAATTGGCGAAATGGCCAAGGACTGAGCAGAGGGCGGTGACTATGTTGTTGGCTGCTGTCCCGGACCCGATTCGGCGTGAACTGATCTCGTCCACGAAGCTGCAAAGCGTGGAGATCCTCTATGCCCTTCTGTGTCGTTTTCAACCAGGTGGAGTTCATGAAAAAACGAGCTTGCTGAAGGCCTCATGGAGAACCGACTGGGTGCCAATGCGAACATCCACGAGCTCTTGCAGACCTTGCGGGTGTGGCGACGGAAATTGGGAAGATCAGCTGAGCTGGGGGCATTCAACTTCCGGAGCCACTCATCTTGGTTCAAGTTCTTGGACGGTATGAATGTCAAGGTTGCTGACTTTGCGGAGGCGCTACAGGCCGAAGCTGAGCAGTTGTCACTGATGAGCGCTTCACCGACTTCTACCACGACGGCATCGCTTCAGGACACCAAGAAGAAGGAGCAGATCAAAGCTGCTCCCTACGGTCTGAAGGGTCTCCTACTTCCAACGATGATGGGAAGGGGAAGTCAAAATGTCGTTTCTGGGGGAGCACGGCTGGTTGTCGCCGAGGTGAATCTTGTGCTTTTGAGCACTCTTGGGACGGCATCCAACGAAAAGGTCGATGCTGGAATTGTTCTGAAGGGCACATGAAACCTGAATGTCCTCACCTCAAACCGAAGGAATCTGGTCAACGTGACTCCTCGGGCTCTCCCGCAAAGATCTCCAAGGTGAAAGATCAAAAGGGTGGCAGTCCCAAAAACACAGGGCATGGAAAAGGTGGATGAAGGGGAACTACGACGTCTTCACCAACGACGCCTTTGCCGAGCTCTTCACATGGATCTACGGCGATTCATCGTCTTCGCATGGTGCTTCTGAGGAGAAGTCCAAGGTGATGCCGAGGAGGTCAAGCCTGCTGTCCCTGCTGCTCTGGTGTCAGACCTGAGTGGGCTTGTGAAGTCTCTGCAGAGCTTGAAGGCAGTTCACTTGAGGTACATTGAGTCCAAGGCCGCAGGTGTTTTCTCTGGAGGTGACCAAAAACTGGCGTTGCTTGACGGTGGAGCCACTCATGGGCTACGTCGAGGACTGCCTCATGAACTTGAAGGTGCTGAAATGGTGACTGTGGAGCTTGCTCATGGGAGTACGTCCCTGTTTAGAAAAGCTGGACGCAGCACGTTGTTGGCGAAGGAGGAGGTGGAACCAATCATCCCTGTCCGTCAATTGATCGAGGCCGGCTACCAGCTCAAATGGAGTTCCTCCGAAGTTTCCATTTGGCATCCCCAAAAAGGATCCATCAAATGCTGGCGACGTCAAGGTTAACTGTCCGGCTATGGATCGAGCTGTTGGTTTGGCTCTTTTACAAATGCTGGAGGATGATGAGGCGGTGACCCAAATTGGTCAAGAAGTTCGAACTTGGTGGAAAGAACGATACCCACAGGTTCCTGACGCCGTCATCGGCTTCATGCAGGGCCAGCTCACTGACTGGAAAACATGTCCTCAAGGACTACCATGGAATCGCCGGAGAAGGAGGCAGCTGGAATCGGCCAAGCCATTGTCTTGCACCTCTTCTCTGGGAACAAGAGCTGCAGAAGCTGGGCTACGAGGTGATCACCTTGGATGTGACTGCAAACAGCGCTGAAAACCTGCACTCGCCAGCCATCTGGAGCTATTTGATGATGTTGGCTCGCCAGGGCTCACTGAGGGTTCTGGCGGGAGGGCCGCCATGCAGGACGTTTTCACGTCTTCGACACAAGTCCCCTCAGGGCCGCGTCCGTTGAAGGGAAGAACAGATAGAAGGTGGGCTCTTCCTGACCTGACTTCACTGGAAGCTGAACGAGTTCATGGAGACTCTGCACTGATCTTGAAAATGGCTGTTCTCTACGAGGAGATGGAGGTGAATGCGCCGCAGCCAGGGGTCAATGGCTTCCTCATGGAGCATCCGGAAGATCCTCGTGAATACCTTGGCGAAGAAGAATCCAAGGAGTTGCCAAGTGTTTGGGAATGGCCTGAACTCAACGCGTTTGCGGAGAAGTTCAACATGAAAACGGTCTCCTTTGATCAAGGAAAATGTGGGCACAGCCGACGGAACCAACCAGCCTCCTGACGAACCTGCCAGGGATGGATGAACTACAGAGGTTGCGCTGTGGGAAGAACGAGAAGGGCATTGAGCCGCTTGCTGCGGATCTTCCACAACGTCTCAAACAGACCTCTTCCTGGTCGTCATGGGCTCCGGGTTTGACACAGGCCATCGATCAAGGAGTCAATCAAACAGATGCCTGCGGCTGGCCTTAACGTTTGTCTTTGGGTGAGTGGCGACAGCATGTGAGGCAGAATCATACGCCTTACCGCCGTGATTTGTGGTCTCTACATGCAAGAAATGGGTGCTGGAGAACCACATCGACATCGAGGTCCTCACCACAATGGTGAATCAGCCTATGTGTTGGCGGTTGACATCACTGGTCCACTTGTGAAGGGATGGTACTATGGAACTGGCCGTCAAGCTAAATATGCGCTGCTTGCTACGGTGCCGATTCCTGTCGTGGATGGTCAACTACATGCTGAAGGTGATCAACCTCCTCACGATGCTCTTCCAAGTCCTGAAGTTCAACGTTCAGAAGAAGTTCAACATGCTGGTCAAGTTCCACGTTCTGGTGGAGATGACAGCCCCAAAGAATGTCTTCCAGGTTCAGGTGCTCATGGTGAAAAAGTTCATGCAGGCAATGTCGAACCTGTTCCGTCAAAAGGTGATGGATGTGATGATGAAAAAGATGGTGGAAAACCAGGTGATGCTCTTCCAGCTGACCCTCTTGCTCCGCTACCAGAATTGGGGGGTCCAAACCCTGAATTTCCTGAAGGAGAAGATGGGTGATTCAGTGAAGATCAGAAAAAACTGGGGGAGAAGCTGAACAAAAAATGGAGAGAGCAGATGGAAGAGGCCACCCCTCCCTTCAAGATTCAGAATGTCACCTTGTTTGAACCTTTGGGCAGCCGCTCTACAGGCGAGTTGCTACCTGCTTTGGACAGAGTTTGGGTGCGCTTTCATTTCCTGCATTGGGCATCCCAATGATCAGATTGCACTCTGATCGTGCCAAAGAAATGCTGGCGAAACCTGTCCGAGAATGGGCAGGCCGCAGAGGTTTGTACCAGACCTTTACCTCTGGCGATGATGCTCCTGCCAACGGAAGAATCGAAAGTGAAATCTTGCAGTTCAAGCGACGGCTGCGACTGACACTGCAGTCTTCAGCTGCGAAGGTGGAGGAATGGCCTTCTGTGGCACGGCACTCTTCTGACGAGCGCCTTCGAGCTCAACTTCAAAAAGTGGGACTACAGCAGCATGCTATGCTTCCCTACAACGTGCGGGTGTTGGTCAAAACGAAGCTGTGGCACAAGCGCTTCACCCAGGGCATGGCGAGTCCGTATTTCCAGGCCACTTTGAAGGGACCAAGTCCTCTGATGCACCATGGATGGGTGGTCCAAACTGATAAGGGCCTCATCCAACATGCCAGGTCTGTTGTGACCACTGACCCAAATGCCGAGCGTGCGATGCTGGAACTTGTTGGTGACCCAATGCGGCCAGTTCACCGTATGGTTGGAAAACAGCCTGTGGCCGGTGACAAGGTCGAGCCTCCAAAACTGATGGATGAAACCAAAAGAGATGGCCCTGACTCAGTGTCAGCGGAAGGGAGGTTAGGTCTTGAAGGTCAGGTTCCAGGCTCCCGTGAAGGATCACAATATGAGCCTAGCATCTATGAAGGTGATGATGATGGAGAGCGAATGGAAGAGGTGGCTTCTTGGCCAACTTGATAGACAAAGGTGGGATTCTTTGTTGACATCCGACCCATAAGTCCATAGCTCAAATCAGGTCTGGACCGTATAGACAGCCACAACAGCTCACCAGTCACAGCCTGTGCTTCTCGAAGTTGTTCGCGAGTGAAGTCCTCCGGCTCCTCAGGAATCATCAAAGAGCTCGACATTGGCGCAGGCCTTGTCTTTTTGATGCCATGCCGCCTGGTCAGCTCCTCTGCATAGGACTTCTGAGTGACCACAACTTCACCGTCGGGACCTTTTTTGATTTCGAAGCCACAAAAAGTCATAGGCTTCTGACCTTCAGGTGCCATCCACTCAGGGTCGCTGCACTTCCAACGTGCCTGCACCTTCTTGAGCGTGGCGTCAATCACTTCAGTGGATCCAGTGATCAGCAAGTCGTCGACATAGACCACCATGTGTCCCACCGTTTCAAGTTTTTTCACTTCACCATCACCAGACTCGAAGAGCTCTTGACGGGGTTTTGGAGATGGTCGAACTACGTCGCCGGCCTACTCGGAAGCGGATGGGCCGCCAGTCCAAGATCCGGAGAGGGAGCCTTTCAACTTGTGGCGCTCTCCTCGAAGAGGATGACGTGCCTGCCATCCCCAACAACTACGTGCCTACGCCAAGTACTCCTGACCACTGGGTGCCGATGAGCACACGCATCCAGGAACGACGTGATCGAGCTGAAGATGCACTACCTGGTGAAAAGGGGAAGGAAAAAGGAAAAGGAAAAGAAAAAGGAAAGGAGAAGGGAGGAAGGGACGTCTTCCGACCTGGCCAAGGGGCGCGACTTCGCCACGCCCTCTCCTTCGGTCTGTCCAGCCGAGGAGAGCCAAGAGGAGACATCGGTGGCCTCTACGCCGGGGACCGCAGATGTCACTCCCGATGACTTCGAGGAGGAGGAGATGGACCCTGGGGTACCATGGACCCATGGTGCAAACGCCCCACCAATGGCGTTGCAGGAGTGGTGGTTCCCACCTGGTCCACCACAAGGACCTCCACCACAAGGACTGCAACAAGGTCCACCTGGACCACTTCAACAAGGCCCACAACATGGTCCACAAGGCCTACAACAAGGGCTACAACATGGACGCCATTGCAAGGAGAAGGACTTCAAGATGTGGGCAGCACGGCACCACAAGCCGTTCATGCTGCTGGTGAACTTCAAGGGGGCGACCAGGCTGAGCCAGCTGACGAACCAGCCTCGGGTCTGCCAGATGATGGGCCACGGCGGGGTGAGTCTGACGAGGTACCCCGGCCGACCATCTTTACAGCCGCTTTTGGCACGGTCTATCATGTGAGGCCGAGCTGCGGGAAACTTCGATGTGCCTCGCGACGCCTTGCCCATGCGGGCCGCTGCAGCGTGGTGGGATGATCTATATGCTGGACAACAAGTACCACACTGTGAACCACAGTGGAGAGGCTGTACTGAGTGCGCCGGTGGCTGAGTTTTAGGATTGGCCAAACTGGCCAAGGGGTAGTGCGTTTGGCACTGTGCACATGCAACAGCATGGACCCCCGCAGATAGATGACACGCACAACATGGTGCGCTGCTACTTTCTTCATGGCTCAAGAAAAGGAGCTTTCTTCATTGGGCTGGTGTGTGAGGATCTAAAGGGTTGCTTAGCCATTGGAACCCATAACAGAAGCCCCCGTTCGTAACCGCAGTTTGAAATGCACTGTTCCCTTCGTGCTTGCTGTACGGCGCTCACAAAGACATTGCGTTGAGTTGGTCTCCAATTTCTTTGACAGCATGTTGCAGCATTTTGCAATCCATTGCTATGAAGCATGCCCGCAGATCCCCTGGCATTGAACGAAGCCGGGAACCAAAGCCGGAATTGCCTGAAAAAACATCCAATCATCTCAGTTTCACATGGAGCAGTTTGGGACCACCACATCAAAGAGGCAAAATCATACAATATCAAATCATATCAAATCTAACATCTCCCAGGGATACTAGAGATGGTGAAAAAAGGACTGATGCAGTGTTGCCACATATTGAAAGTCAAAGAAGCCGGTTTTGTTCTCAACTTTAGGATATTGTTCGCCAACGCTACCATGCTATTTCATCATGTTGCAACGCAGTGGTTGGCCAAAAGCAGCAGCTGGATTCACAGCTTTTTGCAGATCATCACAGATCGCAGTATCAGTGGGCCTTCGTGTTAGTTGGTTGAGGCTGGAGTCCTCCTAGAACGAGCCCCCGACAGGGACGAGGTGGGGATAGAATTGATCAAAGATCCAGGGGAGAATGATTTCCAATGAAACTTGGCCAAAAAAGAGTGACCAGGGCAACCATTCCTTTGCAATGCTGCTGGGCTGTACTACAGTACTACGGGTGATGTAAGCATGGCGCCTGCATACAAGGTTATATATACTTGTTTGACAGTGTCTGACAGTGGAACTGCAGGATCATGTTCTAGGCTGCTATTCCTCATCTACCCTGGCCCCACCGGACTGTGATTGGCTTGTTTCACCAGAACACAGAAAGGAATCAATATTACGAAAGCCAGCCGCTAGGCTAGGCGACGTTTTTTTGGCGAACAAAGTGAGTTAAACGGGTCTGGGGGCACAACGTGCCAAAGTGGGATGGTCTCAGTTGCAGTGGAGCCGTGTTTTTTGACCGTTTTTGAGGGTCATGTACCAGGTGGCAATTGGGTGACGGTGGGCTATCGATTCCCCCCTGGTCCGTCCCTGGAGGTACATTTTGGGAGCGGGTATAGAGACTAGAATAGAAATAAGCTTCGGTGGTATCCCCAACAGCCGCAACGTTTTATTTTTACAAATCTTTCTGATGCGTGCTGCGAAGCCAAGCGCTGGAAACCCTGTTGAACCTGTTGAACTTGTTGAACCTGTTGAACCTGTTGAACCTGACCTGGCCCTGCACCAAAGATTGCCAAAACCTTCTCCGGGACATTCTCTGCAACCTTCTCCGGAACCCGTTGAACCTGACTTGGCTTTGCACCAAGGCTTCCTGGAATTTTCTGTGGAACCTTCTCCGGCACCTGACTCTGCACCAAACCCTCGAAGACCTTCTCAGGACCTGTTGAACCTGACCTGGCTCAGCTTCAAAGCTTCTCGGAACCTTCTCCGGAACCTTCTTCTGGAACCCGTTGAATCTGACTTGGCTTTGCGCCAAGACTTCCTGGAACCTTCTCCGAACCCAGCTCTGCAACAAAGCCTCCCAGACCTTCTCCGGAACCTTCTCCGGAACCCTGTTGAACTTGACCTGGCTCTGCACCAAAGCCTCCCAGACCTTCTCAGGAACCTTCTCAGGAACTTTCTCCGGAACCTTCTCCGGAACCTTGTTGAATTTGACCTAGTGAGCTAGCTCTGCACCAAAGCCTCCCGGAACCTTCTCGGAACCCTCTCCGGAACCTTCTCCGGAACCCGTTAAATCTGACTTGGCTTTGCACCAAGGCTTCCTGGAACCTTCTCCAGAACCTTCTCCTGAAGCCTGTGCAACCTGACCTGACTCTGCGCCAAAGCTTCCCACACCTTCTCCAAGAACCTCCCCCGGAACCCTGTTGAACTTGACCTGGCTGCACCAAAGCCTCCCGGAACCTTCTCTGGAAGTCCGGAACCCTGTTGAACTTTACCTGGCTCTGCACCAAAGCCTCCCAGACCTTGTCCGGAGCCTTCTCCGGAACCCTGTTGAACCTGACCTGGCTCTGCACCAAAGCCTCCCAGACCTTCTCCAGAACCTTCTTCGGAACACTGTTGAACCTGACCTAGCTCTGCACCAAAGCCTCCCGGAACCTTCTCCGGAACCTTCTTGGAAACCCTGTTGAACCTGACCTGGCTTTGCACCAAATGCCTCCCAGACCTTTTCCGGAACCTTCTCCGGAACCCTGTTGACCTTGTCCTGGCTTTGTACCAAAGCCCCCCAGACCTTCGCTGGAACCTTCTCCGGAACCCTGTTGAACCTGACCTGGCTCTGCACCAAAGCCTTCCGGAACCTTCTCCGGAACCTTTTCCGGAACTCGGCTGAACTTGACCTAGCTCTGCACCAAAGCTTCCCGACCTTCTCCGGAACCTTTTCTGGAACCCTCTCCGGAACGCTGTTGAATTTGACTTGGCTTTGCACCAAGCCTTCCTGGAACCTTCTCCGGAACCTTCTCCGGAACCCTGTTGAACCTGACCTGGCTCTGCACCAAAGCCTTCTCCGGAACCCTGTCGAACCTGACCTGGTTCTGCACCAAAGCTTCCCAGACCTTCTCCGGAACCTCGGAACCGTCTCCGGAACCTCGTTGAACCTGACCCGGCGCCTGCACCAGTGCACACCAGAGCTAGTCTGGGCTGAAAACCCGGTTAGATTATATACGCTGCTGGGGAATATAGTAACAAAGAGCAAAGTAGAATGGCAGCAGATGGCTGAGCGCAGTACATAGCACAAGATCCAGAACCAGGACAGTATTTCATATCATTTTATGCTGACTCTTCTACCCCTAACTGTCGGGCTCCGATGTGGGACCATTATGGGCGCAAGGATTGGATAAGCGCGTGTGGACATGGCTGTCTAAAACAGATGTTTCCTGGCCCGTTCCCTGGAGGGAATGTCGGTCCGTGTGTTGGATAGCAAGCTCCTCCCCGCCTCCACGTGGCGCTTGCGGGCCTCAAGGTTCGAATGGGAGGCGCAAAGGAGTTTCTACTCAATTAGCTGCACAGAGAAAAAGAACGAAAACAAAGAAAAATCTCAAGAGCGAGCCACTGCGGCTGAAAAAAGAAAAGATGCCGGAAAGGCCGTTTGAAATAATGCATGTCAAGGGGATCGAAAAGACCCAAAAAAGGGCGTACGAGCCCAGAGTCTCTAAAAGTAGGAGCTGGCTGCTGAAGCTTGTGCTGTGCTGCTTGGCCCTGCCTACTGCTGATGCTACTGCTTTGCAAAGTGGCAAACACTTGCCTCACAGTTGGTGTTTCTTCAACACCACGTATACAGGCCCCACAAGGGCCCCCAGGGAAGACTTGGGCCGGGCGCTGCAGCTATGGCAGCCGGGCGGCTATGGCGGCTGGGCGGATGCCTCGCTACAGCAGCTGCAGCTTTGGGAGCCGACACCGACGGCATTGGACCTGCGGCTTGCTCTTGGCCTAGGACTGGGAACGGTGGCGTTGCTTGGTGAGATCTGTTGCAGCGTTTTTTGTTGGTGCTGCAGTTTTTTCACTAAGAAGAAAAAGGGTAAACACAGTCTGGGAATTGGCAAAATTCGAAAAGTCAGAGCCCCCACTTGGAATGAACTTGTTCACCGCAAGGGCCCTTGGCGTCAGGCATGTCATTGGTTCATTGGCTCAAGTCCGGCGCGACAAGCTGGAAACATGAGACTTGTTGGTGTTCATGGTGCTAGGGGATTGAACTCCTGTTGGCGTTTCTCTCCTCTCCGCTCTCTCTCCTCCCTCCACCATCAAAAGCTGAAGCTTCATGTGAGATACTTGCAGCTGCGTTTTTTGAGACCTGGGGAAAAAGTGCGCGAGATCCACAGAATGGATCACTTGGAAGGAGGCGCCGCAGGCTTCTCGGCAACAAACAGAAAGCGACAAGAGAAAAAACAAAACAGTTCCCTGATCGATGCGCTGTCGGGTTTTTTGCAGACTTGGCAACAGGGACAGGGAGACACATGGCAAAACAAGCCTCGGTGGGGAAAACAGAGAACGGCCCCACGACAAACCGAGTCCAGCATGATTGATGATTTCATTCAGTTCTTACACTCATGTAAACAAAAGCAGTTTAATGACAGGTCAGTTCTTGGTTGCCCGGCATCCACTTGGACAGGTGGACAGTGGCGCTGGACCACAGTCAGAAATATGCACACACTGGTGGGTCACATAAGGGTTTCCCCTCAAATTGCCAAGACTCTCTGCGCACACAGCGGCCGCAGAGGAATCATGGTCACTGAAATTGGGGTGAACACCAGAGATGAAAAAAATCGATGGGCGCAGAGATCAAAAAATGCTGAGGCAGACCAATGCTTTGCTTCCGTTTTTGCTGGAGCTCAGCAACGACAACAAGGTCTGCGATGCAGGACCGGTGGGGGGTCAGATTTAGGCATGTTGCAGCTCTCAACTGATCCGGAAGAAAATAAACCAATGGCGATCGATGTACTTGGGGTGCCAGCCTTTTGGGATGGTACAGACGTCGCTAAGTTTCTTGAAGACCAAGGCTGGTCCAGCCTTCAGGTGCTGACAAGAAAACGGCTTGAGGGCCGCAAGTTTAAGTGGGTTCTTAAAGGGATGCCGGTTCACGACCCTCAAAACCCCCAAAAAACTACTTGGCATTACCGGGACAACTTTAACCCCAATTTGAACTGTTCAGGAGGTGGTGCATGTTCAACCACCCAGAAGACGGTTCCAGGTGGACCTTGAGACACAACCTGCAGAACCTGTCACTGAGGTCTCCGACACTTTGATGGACTCACCTGACGAAACTGCTGAGGTTCCTTCCACACCCAAACAATCTCAGGCCAATGGTGAGATTGACACTCGAGACAAGAGCTGGAGCCCACTGAGGGAAACCAAACCCTCCTGTAAGTCTAAGGCGGCCAAACAGGCGGACCCAGAGCCACCGGCTGCACCTCCTCTCGAACTGAGTGAGTCGAACTGAGTGAGGTCGACAAAGCTAAGGAAAAGGGATGGGAGGCGGTGGATCAGCAAGGGACCGGTGACTGCGGTTACCGCTGTATCTCCGCAGCCATCCACTACGCAAGTACAGGCCAAAAGCTCTCAGCTGAGGAGTCACGCCTGCGCGGGGCAGCCCTGCGGACTAGGCCATGAGTTACACTCACAAACACCACAAAGATTCTGCACCTTGCTTTGCGCCAGAATGAGATTGCCATCCGGATGAGACTCCTCCGGACCCCACAGAAGCGATGAATCAGTGGTTGGGTGACATGTCCCAACCACACACGTGGCTGGAAGGACTCAGTTTACAAGCTGTCGCTAGGCAAACTGGGACCCCTCTTGTTATTTTTTGGGAAACTGATGGGACCTGGCACCGCACAACAGTGGCACCGAAATTCAAGGAGGGATATGCCCTCACTGCTTCTAAGGCCACTCCGATTGTTCTCCTTTTGCAAAACAAACACTACACGTGGTTTTGTCCTCCAGAGGAAACTTCAGTTGAGCAACGTTGGTTGCGCGAATCACCCCCGCCGCAGAAAGGCGCCTTGGCTGGGGCAGCAAAAAAACACGCCAGGGCTTTCGGCGGCCACTGTTTCGTCACCTTCACTCCACAGCATGTCATGTTGCAAAAAAGGTAGTCTTAAACCGGCCAGCAGCAAAAAAGTTGAGAAAGGGATGCAAGGGGCAGGTGGCCCTGCTCTCCGCCCCTCGGCTGCAACTTCAGTCACGCCCTCAGTTCACACAATTCAGTTTCGTTCACAGAAAAAGAGCATGGGGACCAAGAACAGTGCTGCTCCGGTGACACCCTCAGTACATACGATGTGTTCTCCCGAAGTGAAATCAGCACCGTCAAGACCTAAGTCTTGGCACCGAATGGCTGTGGGCCAACTGTGGTGGTCATGTCACTTGTGCGATTTCAAGATTTACAAAAAATGATGGTGTTTCTACCTACACTGACAGTCGCAGACAACACCTACTTGAAAAACATGGTCCAAAGAAAAGGTTCCTGCCCTGAAAACTAACCATTCCAAAAAGAATTTTTTACAGTCACAAGTGGAAGTATTTACTTGAGCTGTGCAGCAAACATGGATGGCCGGGTATGCACCAGCTTGCCCGGAACAAGAAACAAGGGTGGCATTGCAAACAATGTCACTGCAATCGTATCCTGTCCAGCCAGGTCCTGGAGCAGATCTGCCCTGGGTTTGACGGAAACAAGAAATCCATTCCTGCTTTAGCCACGAGGAAAAAACTTTGGAAACAGTGGTATAATGATGCCCACAGCTGGGCACAGGTTGACCCTGCTGAGGCTCCTAGGAAAAGGAAAATCAAGCGGATTGAGGTCACGGTGGCCAAGCAGGCCAAGTGGGACGAAACAGCTGCTAAGGCCCCTGCTCCCAGCTCCAGGTTCTCTGGCCTCTTGCTGCAAAAATCTGACCGCTCCAAGGACACATGGTGGCGCTGCCCTTTTTGTGATTTCAGCATTGCACATGGGGCTTCCCAAAGGTCGGACTTGAAATCCCGCCACCTTAGAAAGGTTCATCAATCCCCCAGCTCCACGGACAACTGCTTCTTGACAGCCATTATGGTCTTCGCCATAGACGCGTTCCAGGTAGACTGCACCGCAGCCACCTCCCCCACCTCCGGTTGCCCGTCTGCACCTATGCCGGCGTCAGCCAGCCCCGCTTGCCTGCCGCGCCGAGGAGGATCTCCTTCGAAGCATAAGCACGCATCGACGCAAGCGCAGATAAATGTGGCTAAGTCCCCGTTGTGCTCCTGCCACATGGTGGACACTGCGTCTAAGAAGCCTTGGCAAGTTCGCGGCGTACTCTTTGGCATGAGGCGGAACACGCGGATTCCACGATGTTGCTGGAAGGCTCCACTGGGAGTCTTCATATAGCAGTCGCCAGCATTAAAGCGAAGTGTCCGCCCACCCTCTGCAATCCAGTAAATGAGTGCGTGCTCCCGGACGAATATGTCGGCTTGTCGCGAACGCCCAAATGCGAGCACACCGACCAGCACGCGGACAAGGTAGTCCGGCGCATCCTGTCCCAAGTGCTCTCGCACTACACCTGTCCACTTTTTGACCTTTTGCAGAATGGTATCCGAATTGTCGACCGGTTCGGCTGGGTTTTGGCTGGAAAACTTGATTGACATCGCTCAAAGAGGAGAACATCGTTTGGAAATCCGCTTCTGAGGTTGCAGCGCCAGGCCACAGACGGCGCTGCTTCAGTTTTTCAAAGGCTGCATCCTCCACAGGCACATCGTCTACTCCTGGTTCTTCCTTGGCTTGCTGCTGTTCCTCTGCGTGCTCCTGACTGGCCACTGCCTCCACGACTGCGGGGAGGGTGCTCTCGGTTTTGATTTTGCAGCTGTTCGAGGTTGTGAAGAAGCGGGCTCTGGCACGGGCTCCATTGCGTCTTGCTCTTCCATGTTTTCATCAGGCGCTTCTCCGCAGTGAGGGAAACCATCGTCTTCCTGAGACGCTCCACCAAGCACATCCATGCTATTGGGCTCCAGCTCTTCAGCAACGATGACTTGCCCCCTTTCATTTGTGCGAAGAGGTTTTGGCTGAGGTCGAGCCAAACACTTGAGTTTTTCGGGCCCTGGGGCCAGCCAAAACCCAGAATCATCGATAAGCAAGAACTGTCGAAGAAGAACGGCAGGTGTGCCGCACAGAACGGCTTTGGCCACGGAATCTTCGGTCTGCGCAAGGTTGTGCTCATCAATGATCCGAGCAACTTCGATCGGCAATGCAGGCAACAGTGCGACGCAGGCACATCCAACTATGATGGGCACTCTTTGTCTATCTTGGCAAACCACAAGCCAATTCTCTTGGCTACCGGTACCGCAACAAAGAATTCAGCAACATTTCTTTAGCTAATGTCAAGCTGGTGTCCACATTCGTCAGAGACAAGTTGCGCCTACTACTTCCAAACAAGGGCCGTTGACCCAAGTCACCAAAAGGAGTCCGATGAATTGGTCCGCCTCCTATATTCTTTGCGTGTCAACCTGTCAATATTCAATTCAAAGTAGTACATCAACAGCCCTTGACCTGGTACCCTTGCGTAGCAGCGGAAGCCGTGGATTGCTGCAGCAAGCCGGTGTACCAACCAGCAAGCCTCGACGCACCAGGGCCTCGCACTGCATTCGCATCCCAAGCACCCAATACTCTAGAGATATTTTTTCGCCGAGCAGCCGTTGACTGACAGATGATCACTGCCACCACTGACATCCTCTCCGTCTCCATCCTCCGCCACATCCAGGGGCAATGTTGGCGAAATCTCTGCGTGGTTGGCCACGGCCTGCCGGCGGAGCCTAATGATCGCACAAGTCTCTGCAGGCATATGAGGAACTTCATCAATAAACGGCGCCTCCAAATCAGGGTGTATGCAGACTACCAGCATGGCAGACACGACGTATTGGTAATATGTTTCCAAGATGTACCAGTACAGGTTCAGCTGCAAGCGGTATTTAACCCCTTGTGCGTCCGCCAAGTGCTCTAGCGGCGCCGCCAGACTTCGCCAGGGGTTGACATATTTGCGGTCCAGATTCGCAGTGCGTTTCCAGTCCACCAACCTGACATCCATGACTAAATAAACCAGCCAAGCCTAATAATAGAAGCTTTATAAGCAAAACTCATGCGCGTGGTATTTGACACTTGGGCTTGCAAGCCAAGAAACACCAGGTGGCCTTTCTCGTCGATGGCGGCAAAATCGATGCAGCCTGCCACTTTTTCCTTTGTCGCCCAGATGCACCACTCGGTGCGAAATGCAAGGAGTGGCTTTGTGCGGCCAAGAAAAATTGCAAGTAAAACCAATTCAGGACACACTCCGTCGACGCTGCCACCGTTGAGAACACATTCGCATTGAAGGTGTGTCCATGTTCCTCGGCGCGCAGCCACTTCTGCGGAGGCCGACCAGTGAGTCTTGTTTTCCGAAGGCGACATGACGGAAGCTCCTCGCATGTATTCCCTCCGCGGCCAGTGCCCGCTGGTCATCATCTTCTGGATGGCCAGGTCTGCATCAAACTCCTCGCGAACAGGTCTCCGAACTTGTGACTGTCGATTTGCAGCTTTGCCTCTAAACAACTGCATTTTCAACAGAACTACACAACAATTTTCAGCAACCCGACATAACATTTGGGAAAAACACCAGGCAGTCCTCTGCATAACTCCCAACAAGTCCAGTTACGGACACGTCGACAGGCTCATCATCCACAAAATACTTGTGTCCATCCGACATGAAGCGGATGCGCCTGTCCCGCTCGTGCGGATGACAAATCTCAAGCCAATCAAATTGAGGAGACTGTTCAAGCACTGTGTAAGCCGCTGGGAGAATTGCAACTGGTCGCGTGAGCGGGGGGGAGTGGGATGCGCACTCCGCGCCTCTCAGTGTTCCTGACGCCAAAAGTTTGCCGTATCATGGGCGGCATGGCCACATCCCAGTTGCGTAGCCAAGTTTGTTTGGCCTTCGCTTCTTTGTAAGAAGTCAAATAGTACCGAGCCTGCTCAACCGACATCCCAGCATTGATGAGCTCTTGCTCGGTCTTCGGCTTGGAGAGTGAAGCTTCCCAGCGCCTGGTGAGAGCCGTGGCCCGGTTGTAGCAAATTTGCAGCCAAACTTCTGGATCCTTTTGCAGCACGGGCTCTGCTCCACCTTGCACATCTTGTGTACGCCCAACAGGCAACAAACAGTCTGCTTCAAGATGCAACCTTCCACACGTTGCCCCCAGCTGCCTATACAATCCAAAAGCCGCAATAGGTTTGAGATGACTGCGCAGAACATGGCCCCAGGTGATTGTTTGCCAAGCCGAATCCACAGCGAAAGGTGCGAACTGACAGAGATCTGCTAAAGAAAACCAGCACTGTCCCTCGTGGTTTTCAAGCAGCAAGCTTGCACCATGTCCCATCAGTAGCCCCAACATGTCCGCATCTGGGACCCGCGCAACCACATGCGTGGCAGCATTACCCTCTGCATCTTGGAGATTTGCATTCGCTCCATGGAGTAAGAGGGTTTTAACTGCTCCGTAGTTCTGGGCACTAACGGCAGTGTCCAATGGATTGCGGCCATCCAGTCCAATTCTGTCAGGGTCAGCTTTCCCTTCCAGAAGTTTCCGCAAGACAGCCGTAGCATTGCATTCGCAACACTTGACGACCGCAGTGCTACCACATTGAAGTGTGGAAGTAGGATCTTGCCCAAGTTCCAGCAAGTCCTGTGTGGTCACGGCGCAGTCCTGCTCTATAACCACCTCCAACTCGGCCGCATAGTTTCGTGTCAGCGGCGTCAGGAGCACCTGGAAGGTGGAAACTCCCTCAAATTCCACCCAGGCTTTGTCTTCTTCGATGACCAAGCCTTCGTGCAAACATGACACTGCAAACGGTGGGTGGTGCATGCGGTGGTGGAAGAGCCGCTGCACCCTGCGAAGGAAGCTGTCCTCATAGTCAAACCTCTCTGCGTCCACTGTTAGCAAGACTTGACCAGAGAGGGCCGACTGGAACTCGATGCCGGCCACGCTCTCTTCGCTTGGTGTGTTCTTTGTCTGGGGCTCCTTGGTGTTGTCGTGCCTGCATGAGCAAAGCTCTCCTATGACATAAGGCAAGCCAGGCTTCGGGGGACTTTCCCAGACATGCATCATCATGCATCCAAAGGAAGGGGAGACTGTCCATGATCTGACCCCCCGAGCTCATCCAAACTTGTAGGTGCGGCACAGGCTCCGCGAGATGGTTCGAGACGAAAGACTTTCTCGTACTCCTCCAAGTGAAACACGTCCAGGGGAAAATCACGTCCCTCATGAGTTCGGTGGCTGCATTGCAAACGGCATAGGCCATGCGCAAAAGTGCGAAACCCAATGAAATGGTGGTGGCGGAAGAGGACATACTTGCCAGGCGAACATACATCAAATGCCTCCACCAAGGTGTGCCTCAGACAGTGAATCAATCACATCGGAAAAGTTTGCGCGGAGCAATTTCGTAGATTGGGCGAAGCCCAGTGACTGCTTACAACTTGCAACACCACGTGAACGCGGATCTGTCAGCCGCTACACGACAATCATTAAGTTCATATCATCCAAAGCTCTAGCCGTCTAGCCAAGGGACCCAAACGGACGCAGCATGGTGTTGCCGTCAGCGAGCGCCCAGAAAGGGCCATCACGATCGTAGGGAACTTTGCGACCCAACGATCGCAACGTATCCACCAGGCACACGTTATGCTTTCGGTCTGAACCTTCACGGACTGGAATCGGCCTGACAGGAGAATGGGACACACACACACACTTGCTCAGAAACATCATTGCGAATTTCTGTTGTGGAATGCATCTCACGTGCACAAACAATTCAGTAAAACCTGACAGGAAAAATTGGTTGACCCAGCGTGGAATTCAGTTAGAAGAATACTTTCTACGCCCTTGCTCTGAAGACAGTTCTGATGCAGCTGAACCATTCGTAAATGACCAAAATAGATCCAGATTGCGACAACAGTGCGGAAACCGTAAGTTTCAATTGGACGCCATGGAGGTTCTTGGGTTGAGCCTCTTCCCATTTCTGAAAATTGGCAGGTACGTCACTGGACGTCTCCAGTGATATCAGTGTCTCATGCAAGCCTCTTCGTTGGGCTGGTACTTGCATGGACAACCAGCCCCCCTGCTGAATTGGAAAATCCAGTTCATGATTGAAAAAACGAGTCAGTAGAAACGAAACAGCCAAACCATCGCTTAGAAGTTTTACATCTTTTCAGATGGTCCACACACACGCCTCGCTGCCGCGAGGCTGTTTTGGCAACTAAGGTCCCGACAATGAGATGAAAATGAAGAAGAAGGGAAATAAAAATGAGGTGAAGATGACAATGAGATGAAAGTTACTTAACCAGGACGCAAAGAGGGGAACGCAAAAGAAGAGGGAAAGAGCAAACACCAACACATGAAACCTAGCCCAAAACGGGCAACCCTGGAAAGGCAAGGGAAAAGAAAAGCGGAGGCCGACGGAAAACGGAACAAGACCAGCGGAGGAGGGGGAAGACAGAAGCGCCTGAACCAACCTGACACGGCGCAAACCTACAACAACCTCAGCACGCAACGGGCCAAACCTACCTGGAGAGAGGAGAACGCAAGAACACATGAAATAGGGACCCATGGGGAACTAGTTACTGACATGATGCATCCACAACTCATGCAAGATTCGTGATAAGGCTCAAAGGCCCTCGGCTTTCAAGTCACAACCCTCTGGACGGCTTACGTGTTCAACCCCTGAATTACGTGCACAATTGAACCTCACCAACGACCATAAAAAGAAAGAAAAAACACACCTAAAGCATGTCCTGTTGCCTGATCATGAAAGAAAAGGTGAAGCCAGGCACAGCGGCATGTTGTTCAACACATCGACATCGACAGGTGAGACCTGGAAAAAAGGCCGACTGTTTCACATTACTTACACGAATTACTAATTCAAAAGTGTAAATTCAGACAAAAAAGGTGAGGCCAGGCACAGCGGCAGGCAGTTCAACGCATCGACATCGACAAGGTGAGAATCGGAAAAAAGGCCAGCAGTTCACTTTACTTAGACGAATTACTAATTCAAAAGTGCAAATTCAGACATCGTTTTACTGTCAATTGTTAGCCTGGAAAGGCTTTCCCCGAAGGGTTCCTGCCAACTTGACGTACACAGCAGGAATGACACACTTGTTCAGAAACATCATTGCGAATTTCTGTTGTGGAATGCATCTCACGTGCACAAACAATTCAGTAAAACCTGACAGGAAAAATTGGTTGACCCAGCGTGAAATTCAGTTAGAAGAATACTTTCTACGCCCTTGCTCTGAAGACAGTTCTGATGCAGCTGAACCATTCGTAAGTGACCAAAATAGATCCAGATTGCGACAACAGTGCAGAAACCGTAAGTTTCAATTGGACGCCATGGAGGTTCTTGGGTTGAGCCTCTTCCCATTTCTGACAATTGGCAGGTACGTCACTGGACGTCTCCAGTGATATCAGTGTCTCATGCAAGCCTCTTCGTTGGGCTGGTACTTGCATGGACAACCAGCCCCCCTGCTGAATTGGAAAATCCAGTTCATGATTGAAAAAACGAGTCAGTAGAAACGAAACAGCCAAACCATCGCTTAGAAGTTTTACATCTTTTCAGATGGTCCACACACACACACTAGACAAGAATGGATCATTATATGATCCGGCAGGAACTGAATCCTGAAACATGCAGATTAGATACGAAACAACGAAATTAACGAAGCATCCTACGAATAAATGATTGAGCAGGTACGTGGATTGAGCGTCCCCAATCCATATCACTGTGCAACAGATGCGTCTTCGTTGGATGGAGACATCTGAAGCACACTCCATCCCCCTGCGTTATTTAGAAAGGGAGAGGACGGAAGGAAGAAAAAGAGAGAAGTTTTACATCTGTTTAGATGTTACACACACACCCGGCCAGAGCCGGGTCAACCCTGAAAGGCAAGAGGAAGAAAAAAGCGGACACACGACGGGCAGACGGCCAGAACAAGCGCAGGGGGGGGAGGGGAACAGACGGACCTCCAGAACCAACCTACACGGCGAAACGGACCTGACCAAAACAGCGCACACACCTAAACCCCACGACACATTACGGAGAGGCACGCCGGGAAAATTAGGGACCAAATGGGGGACTAGTTGGTGACAGACAAGGAAACCAAAACAATTAGTTAAACAACAGGATTCAGCTCCTAAACCTAGGGTTCGTGCGTTATGCCACTCCAGGCCCGTGTTCAAGTCTTGCCCCAATCGGCATAAAACGGCTTTCAAGTTCCAACGAATTAGGTGCACAATATGTTTCACCTCACCAAATACCAAAGAGACCACACCTGCAGGAAAAGGACATGCCTGTTGCCTGTTGTCTTGCATGTCATGTCTCATCGCAAACGCTGAAGCTGCAGTGGAAACGGAGGTTTCTGAATGTTCGGCACAGCTGCACACGAAAGAACAGATCACTGGGGTCCCTGGGACAACAGGAACAGCGGGTCATCGTAAAATGGTGCAGAACAGTAAGGCCAACTGTTGCGATTTACTTAGATGAATTACTAAATTAAAATGTGTTAATTCGGCAGTCAGGACAGTCATCACTCACCCTAAAGAGGGTTGCCTCAAATGGCTCCATGGCACCATGTCGGAGCCACCATGGAAATCACACTAGACAAGAATGGATCATTATATGATCCGGCAGGAACTGAATCCTGAAACATGCAGATTAGATACGAAACAACGAAATTAACGAAGCATCCTACGAATAAATGATTGAGCAGGTACGTGGATTGAGCGTCCCCAATCCATATCACTGTGCAACAGATGCGTCTTCGTTGGATGGAGACATCTGAAGCACACTCCATCCCCCTGCGTTATTTAGAAAGGGAGAGGACGGAAGGAAGAAAAAGAGAGAAGTTTTACATCTGTTTAGATGTTACACACACACACACACGTGACAAGTTGTCCTGGACAGCAGCGGCCAAAATTCTTTGTCATCATCGAACCACAGCCTCTACATGTCTATACACACGAATGCGACCAAGCAGCCGGTCTGTTTTGCTGTGGTGACGCGCAGCTGCATCAGCATCCGGATTGGCCGGCGCATCTGTCGGGGTGACATCTGATAGGAACTCCGCGATCGTTTTGTCGAAGTACCGAGTGTATGCTGCCCGACGGTACCATAGATTTGATGTGAAGCATCGACAGTGCTCATACACCCCGAGTACTTCTGGCGGGAAGACAAAGAACCTCACACGGAACAGCCCTTCATTCTAGTCTCCGGGTTGTTAATTTAGATATCAGCTTTCATGACTCTCATAAGACCCCGACATTTCACAGTTCCGAGTCTCCGGTCCGTGCATCCGATTCCAATCATGAACTTCGATTAACTGCGATGGGTCTCTAAATATCTCATGTTTGATTTGACCGCCTTGACACCACAATCTGGCGTACAATTAAGAGCGCAACTTTCGCTCAATCTTACCTGCAAATTAGTCGCTTTCTGCGCAGCAAAAGCAATCACGGGGAACGAAATTGACTCGCAGAAGCACACCCCACAAGACACTGTCCCTGATATGTGATCAACTTTCATAGATAGAAAATCAAATCCCTCGCTCTGTTGCCAAGGCACCAGAGGGAACTGCTTGAATCTCCATCTTCGACACACCTGACCAAAGTCCAAACACCTGTCGAATGTCAAACCTAGTCATGACCTCATCCCACCAGCCTTCCTCCGTGGGGCAATCAGCTGTAGCGGGGGCCTTACCTCAGCGTTGGTCAAAGACACAGCTTGTCCAAAGATTGCGTTGTTCAGCTGAACACAAGGACGAGAAACCGCAATGCACTTGGTGAAAGGCAACGCCTCAGCTTGCGACTTGGTCCACAATTACCCCGGGCATCCACCACTGCTTCCCAAACTCTCACACAAACATACAGGCACACGGCTGAGCGCCTAACAATCAATGTCTTCTGCATCCCACTCATCCACATCAGCCCAGCGTTGGCCGCGAAGAAAGCCATGGTCTAGTTTCGTAACACTATAGAAATCCGGATCTAAAGGCTTTGATTTGCACTGACCAGATTGTCAGCAAACAGCGAACACGCAAACATGGTTCGATATATGGTCGCTTGCCGAC